TTAAATGCGATTACCGATCTCTGGCTGTTCCATTTGCCTCCCTATATCAACCAAAACAAGCAAACACTAACCCAATACTACCAAATACTACCACATACTACCCAATATTATCAATTAACAACCTAATATTGTCAAATAGCAGCATATTAGTATAATTACTGCAACGAATATTCTATAATTTGCAGAAAAATTAAATGTTTGCGCAGTTATCTCCCTTTACAACCGATAAAGAGATTTTAGATTATTCAGATTAATCATCTTCTTTTACGTTGCAGTTGGTTTCCAAGTCGACGAAACTAAAATAAGAAAACCAAGTATTATATTGTGTATATTTTAATCTATTATGTATTGTTTAATGGTCGAGAGCGAGACATTAAGTATTGTAACAACAAGAGGACCGCCAGGTCCGAGTGTTTTTACAATATATTACGCAATGTCTCAGCTCGAGACCATTAAACATCTTAAAATACAGACACTCCGCACGTGCGTTTACAGTGAAATACGTCACTCGAGTCTAATATTTGACAAGGTACGATTGGCAAGTTGCCCGTACGATTATTTGAAATAATGGTACGCCAACATCAAAGGGTGACGTCACATCTGTATTTTAAATATAATTATGTATTATTATATAAGATGGCCAGCGGTCTATAAATAACAATTTCAACCTCTCCATGGGTATCGTCAGGAGGCACGTCCTTTAATAAAAAAAAAATGCATATGTTTATATTTTTTCATGTCAACTATTAAGTCATTGCATAATTACTTTCATTTTAAAATGAACGAAATTGCACATGTCTATTGCAAATGTGTAATGCTCTACTCGTATATACATTCCACCTGACTTAACAATTAATCAACGGGTTAAGATTGTTGATTGGGTAATCACGTTCTGGTTTATTTATATTATCTCTCGATGAAACTGCTACCAAATAATACACTTGAAGATATTCTTTTGTCAATATTGGTTTTAGCCTTTTTCTGTTGTATATAGACCCTTCATGTATATTATTGTTGTTGTTTATTACAAATACGCCGGCTATGATTATCAATCCATCTATATGCAGTGTTATCAATGTTAAACATGTAGATAACGTCCACCAGTTAATTGTCATTTTGTAAAAGTTGGCTTAATTACTAAATACAGCTTTGATTGTATTAATCATCTAGTGTCAACACTATAATCGGCATGTTTCCGGATATACGATTGAACTCAAAGTCAGTGTATATTCACACATCTCTGGCATCCAATAGAAGTTCCAAAAGCACATTTCTTCACTCTTGTCTAACCTCACACTCTGTGTAAGCGTAGTCATAATTTTAGCGAATATTAGTCGATATCAGTGTGGCCCGTGGTCAACAACAAAAACATGTCCAACGGCATTGTGATAAATGCGCTGTGAAGTGTAAAAATGGAATTATATTTTGTGACACGTGTTTGAAATGGTACCACATAGATTGTGAAGGCATTACTGATGTAGAAGTAAAAGCCCTTTCTGCCAGCCCAGAAACATATATTTGTGAAATATGCAGAAGTTCTGGTGACAAGTTTGATTATCTCCTGGGAATAACACGACTGGGAAAGGTTTGTTTGGTTTTTTTCATGTTTCTTATTCAATTTAAAAAATTGCATAAAATATTTATATTTCTTTTGTCCAAAATCGTGGATTTTCTCCGAGTGCTCCGGTTCCTCTCACTGCTAAAGACCCCTACGCGCCAGCGAATTATTGAAATAAAATTGAACCACCAGGTCAGTCCCGAAATGACCTAGTTTGTGTCGTGTGAAGGGTAAGCGCTTGTTATTATTTTGATTCGCATATGTTTATATTTATTTTTTCATGTCAACTATTACGTTATTGCATATTTACGTAATGGATGATGGTATAAATTAAACATTAACGAAATTGCACATGTTTATTACAAATGTGTAATGCTCTACTCGTAAATACATTCCACCTGACTTATCACTTAATCAACGGAAATAAGATTAAAATTAAAAACACTTATATGGATATACTACTTCTGAATTTATTAACATGCTACGTTTTGATACACATACAGATATCGTTATCAAGCAAATTTTTATTTGTGAAATCTACCTCTATATGTCTTATAAGGATTATGGAAATAAGATTGTTGATTGGCTAATCAAGTTTTGTTGTGCTTGATCATCAAAGAAACCGACAGAGCTGTAAGTGTTTAAGCAGATTAGTGAAAGTAAGGCTTTGTATTTTATTTTCAGGCCGCAAATCACAGTGTGGACAAACTGAGAAGTGTCGCACAAAGAGAGATGCTAATTCACAAAGAGAGGCGTGTCGATTTATCCCCTACAATAGTACCAACAGAATTCCTGTTGACGAAGTAGCTGACAAATTATTGAGGCAGTATACCAAAGAAACCAATGTCAATGCAGTAAAATCTACGGGCGATGGGGATTGTCTCTTCAATGCAGTCTCAACGCTGCTGATAGGGTGCGAATCTCTTTCAGTAGAGTTGAGATATCGCACTTGTTTGGAGATGGTTCCGAACCACGCAAACATGGGTACCGCCTGACGATACCCATGGAGGGGTTGAAATAGTTATTCATAGACTGGCGGCCGTCTTATATAATAATACAGTAGTTAACTATATATAATGATTAAAATATACACAACAAAATACTTGTTTTTCTTATTTTAACTTCGTCCTCTTGGAAACCCACTGCAAAGCAAAAGAAGATGATTAATCTGGATAGCAATTTATCGGTTGTAAAGGGGGATAACTGCGCAAACATTTCATTTTTCTGCTAATTTTAGAACATTCGCTGCAGTAATTATACTAATGTGCTGCTATTTGAAAATATTAGGTTGTTAATTGATAAAATTGGGTAGTATGTGGTAGTATTTGGTAGTATTGGGTTAGTTTTTACTTGTTTTGGTTGATATAGGGAGGCAAATGGAACAGTCAGAGATCGGTAATCGCATTTAAAGTACAATTCCCGCGCTATAACTAATTATTTTTTTAAAAAATTCAATTGATATGCACAGTTTACATCATTATGTTGGAGTATTGGGTAGTATGTGGTTATATTGTAGTGGTATTGGGGTGGTATTGGGTAGTATTGGGTAAATCGTCCCACCCCAAAGATATAATATGGCACACAATGCTATATTCCCACGATAGCGCAAATACAGAGTGTGACCAAAATTAATCCTTCCAACGAAGGCGTAGATATCGACTTTTGGCATTTTGTTATTCGGACCCAATTTTGTCTGCCATATCATATTTCAGATACTCATTGTATTCGTAAACGTTTGGTTTAAAAAATGCGTTGTCGCGTTTTTTTTCTGTAACTTAACACTGAAAACGAAATGAAATGTCCTACTGTTCTGCTCCTATACTGGGCTAATGAAGACGGACATACGCCATAAAGTGTGCTATGAGGGAAATTTTGCCCGGGCAGCGGCACTATCGCCTACTCTTATATCGAATTCCAACTGCCAAGGGATCTTTTACGTGCATTCCAATGTATACAAGGGACCTCGGTTTTTCGTATCATCCGAAGGACTAGACAGCTGTCCTTGTCAGACCCTCCGTTCTGCACCACTGACAAAGAGAAACCACGTCAGAAAATCCGGATGAACTTTCTCGGCCAATGCAGAGATGGAACACCCGAACCCCAGGCTAGCGAGCCAGCGTCTTAACCACCTAGCCACCGTGGCTCCACCCATATATTGGCTATGATCGGCAGAATAAAGGAATACTTTGTATGTTAAAGGCATTGCGTCGCGACTGTCTCGGATTACACAATAACTACACAATAACATCCAATGGATCTAAATAACACAATAACTACTCAATAACACCCAATGGATCTAAATAACACAATAATACACAATAACTACCAATAACACCCAATGGATCTTAATTTCCGAATATAAAATGCGGTTGTAGCATCTTTGTAAGAATTAAATAGGGATAGGCACTATTAAAACAAATACGGAGGTTACTACATGTCGAGGTATACATGTACTACTCATCTGTTGTCAGGGGCGGACTGGGCCTCGGACCGTCGAGTTATACTACTCACCTTTTGTCAGGGGGGGACTGGGCCTCGGACCGTCGATTTATTTTATCTTTTTTTTTCAAAATAACTAAAATTCATCTTCGTATTCACTGTCATTGAGTCAACTGGCGTGGTTTCGAATCCCCGGTTGTACGTGACAAGGAGTAGGGTTGCCTGTCCAACCTCGTGGGTTTTCTCCGGGTCCTCCGGTTTCCTCCCACTGCTAAAGACCCCTACGCGCAAGCGAATTATTGAAATAAAATTAAACCATATGTTAGTCCCGAAATGACCAAGTCTGTGTCGAGTGGACGTTAAACCCCATCTCTCTCTCTCTCTCTCTCTCTCTCTCTCTCTCTCTCTCTCGTATTCACTGAACAAAAGAACTAATGGCCGCAATCCGAGGAGAGAAATAATCTATGTGAGTGTGATGCAAGAATAGTGAATCAAACTAGTTCCCTTTTCTTGTCATGTCACTTAATATTCACCGCGATGGGGGCCCAACGAAACCAGTTGGTCAGACAGCGCAGGGCTACCCAGTCCGCCCCATTAATTTCAATACGGGGATAAATGCGGAATTATGATCATAAATGGTCGCAAACTGTAAACTTTTTAAATTTGAAACCGAACTCGGAGGAAATTGGATACCAGCTATAAGTCGATCACCAACAGCGTTAACTGGTTTCCTGTCCCACTGAGGATTCAAGTCAACGAACAGGGAGGATTGTTTAATGGTGCACATTGAGCGGATCCCTTGTTTGGAACAGAGGGCACATAACCACACATACCCCTATACATTCGCAGGGGCGGATCTAGGAATTTTTGCAGGAGAAAGTTTGCCAGGTTCCTGTTAAAGGAAATTTGATAGTTGGCAATGCATGATGCCACCATCGTCTTCAAATTACGTAGGCATACAAACACACTGAACATTTTAAAGAGAGAAATCCAACACCCCGTTTGACCTCAATTTTTATTTGGAATTAATAGGATCACATTGTGATTCAATTTCATTGATGCAAAGCATTAATTGTGATATCACATATGTCTATATCATTATCGCGCACTCTGAATGTCCATCCCACCATCAGATGATAAAGGATAAAGCACACGGCCGTGACACTTTTCTCATAAACAGCGTTGTTTTACAATTATTTTTATGTAGCAGACTCCGCTCTTGAGTCACCATTTAATTATTGGGTAAATAAAACCAACTGACCACTTCTCCTTGAAATTCTAAAGTTTCGTTGACCCCATTAGATAACCATTTTCTTCTGACCAGTGGATATCTTGTGTTTAAAAGGTCACATTCCACTTCAGTACTATCGTCGACGTCGTTCTCAAATTCATGGCTATACTCAATGGATTTACATCGTCTAGGGTTGAAGGTCTGTAGTATGACGTTGGTTGTATTTTTTGGGGCCGGAAACAACAATCCCATGAAAGGTCGTCGCGTTAAAGGAAACACGTCTCCCTTTTTGTAAATAAAAGTTTCACTATCCTCGGGATCAGCGTCCCATATATGAGTGGAATTCTCTTCAAAAAAACTGATATCTAAAAAAGGCCAAGACCAGTCTACGTCCTCGATTGGTCGCGAATAATTTGAATAAAATTTCCAGCGGACGTTTTTCTCCAGATAAAAACTTGGTCGTAGAGTAGACAAAATGTTAGAAACAATACTTTTGTCTGATATATTTAATATGATGTCTACGTCGTCATCCCAGGGTATAATATCGTGATGACGATACGATCCCAACAAGGTTCCAAAATACAGAAAATAACTCACATTAGACTGTTCCAGTAAATATTTACACTTGAGTACAATGTCTTGAAGAGCTTGGCGATCTTTTGTCGACATTGCTGGTAAAAACGCCGTTGGTATAGAATGTAAATTTGAGGAACTTCTGGTGGGTAATTTCACCGGTCCTGTTATTGATGAATTATTCGTTTTTAATCGCATATTCAGTAAATGGGTGACACGTTTTGCTGAAAAAAGATTTGGTTCTGTGATCGAAACACTCCTGAAATTAATGGCCCCGTCTGCAAAATAACTCCAAATCATAGCCGTGAACACAACGATATTAATAAGGCACAGTAAAGTGAACCGTTTATAACCCAAATAAAATACGCATTTCGTTAAATGTCCACACACACGCTCACTTTCAGAATCCATTTTTATAATCTGCCAAAATTGAAACACTTATCTAGTTTAAATTTGAACTGTCTGAATTGAAACGAAAAAGGTGTTTAAAAATTCGAATTTTCTTGACCCGGTACGTGTTAATGTTTACGTTTTCAATTTACTCGCCTGCATCGAGAAATTCTATCCGATCTGTTACAAAAATAAATCAAGAAGTTGTGAATAAACTGTGTGTCACAGTTGCCGATTCATTAATAAACAGCGTCTACATACACACGTGCTGTATATATATAATAAACGATTTAAAAGAACGAACTCTCAGATTTTTATACCAAAAATACTAATATTTGCATGGAATAATCTATATTTAAATAACTTTAACATTATTGCCAAGATCTTTCGTCCTTACGGCGTCTTCAGGGCTAATACAAAAGACAATGGTCATATATATATATATCCAAAATTATTAGCACAACCGCAAAACTGCACTACTTTGTTTCACGGTAAATGATGAAGAGATCAAAAAAGGTATGCCGACACAAACTCATTATATATATATCCAGAAATATTAGCACAACCGTAAAGCTGCACTACTTTGTTTCACGGTAAACGATGAAAAGATAAAAGGTATGCCAATATATATATTATATACTATGATGTTCTGTTACGGACATTCTGGTGGGTGGCTGAATGGTTAGCGCGTGCGCGTTGTATCATAAGGTCTGCCATTGAGTCAACTAGCGTGGTTTCGATTCCCCGGTTATACGTGACAATAAATAGGGTCGCCTGTCCAGCCTCGGTTTTCTCCGGGTCCTCCGGTTTCCTGGGGGGTTGGATGGCTGAATGGTTAGCGTGCGCGCGCTGTATCATAAAGTCTGTCATTGAGTCGACTGGCGTGGTTTCGAATCCCCGGTTGTACGTGGCAAGGAGTAGGGTCGCCTGTCCAACCTCGTGGGTTTTCTCCGGGTCCTCCGGTTTCCTCCCACTGCTAAAGACCCCTACGCGCAAGCGAATTATGTAAATAAAATTAAACCATATGTTAGTCCCGAAATGACCTAGTTTGTATCGAGCGGACGTTAAACCCCATTTCTCTCTTTATATACTATCATAACGTAGCAATCTATTTCACGACATATAAATTGGCAAGCATATTGTGCAACCGAATAAAGATGTTTCCCAAAATGATAAGTATGCTATGAGGGAAATTTTGCCCGGACAGCGGCACTACGGCCTACTCTTATATCGAATTCCAACTGTCAAGGGATCTTATACGAGCATGCCAATGTGTACACGGGACCTCGTTTTTCGTCCCATCCGAACGACTAGACAGTTGTCCTAGCCAGGTCCTCCGCCCTGCATCATTGACAAGGGGGGGGGGGGGAGGACCACGTCGGAAAATCAAATCAGGATGACATTTCTCGGTCAATGCAAGGATCGAACATTTTTGCAGGTCGGTACATTGGAGAAAACACCAGCCATTATACGATTTTTACTATTTGGAATTCAGGCTGTGTACTTATAAATCCCTAAACACATGGGGTTTAACGTCCACTCGACACAAACTAGGTCATTTCGGGACTAACATATGGTTTTCAATTTTATTTCAATAATTCGCTTGCGCGTAGGGGTCTTTAGCAGTGGGAGGAAACCGGAGGACCCGGATAAAACCCACGAGGTTGGACAGGCGACCCTACTCCTTGTCACGTACAACCGGGGAATCGTAACCAAGCCAGTTGACTCAATGACAGACCTTGCGATACAGCTCGCACGTGCTTACCATTCGGCCATCCACCCAACCCACCCCTCCCGGAAAGCGATACTACGACCTACACTTATATCGAATAATACCTTCCAATTGGTCTTTAACGTGCACGCTAATGTCTACACCAATTAAGTAAAAATCACGATGTATTTGAAACGTTCAAACATTTTCCTAATTAAATTAACACCCCGGGGCTTCAACTATATACAAACAATCAGGAAACAGTTGATTTTATTCAAATCCAAAACCATCATTAATGGCGAGTCAAGCTATATAGTTCATCTCGTTTATGATTCCATGTTCATTATCTAAATTCAGTTGGAATTGTTTTTTTCCAAACTTGACAAACATGATAACAAAATTTAAATTGAATTGTTTGTAGAATATTCTTGAACAAAAGATGAATTTGTCTCACACTTGCATAACGCCAAGCTGTAAAGGTGTATAAACATATTCTTTGGAACAATTAAAGATGCATTTCCACATCGAGTGGCTATTTCGAATAAAAGTATGACAAATTTGGAATATATAGAAAGTAGTAACACCCAATCTTACTTAAAATTATTAGGTTCCTTTACAAACATGAAGAGAGCAGAGGGCAAAATGAAAGGGGGGGGGGTCACTAATTCTCAGCCTGGCTGTCAAAGGTTGCACGCGTAGATTTTCTGACCCCTTTGCATTAGGGGGCGCTTAATGTATGTGTTGATAAACGTGATAGTGAGCGGACGTAGCAAAAGTGAAAGACGTCAACGTACAATATATTTTGAGACTAAACTGCGGAAAAAGAAGTGGATAGAAGTGTGTGTGTGTTAGTTGTATTTTACGTCCGCTTCCACCGAGGTGATATCGCAGACAAGTGGATCGCGGATAGTAAGATGTTATTTTATTTTGCACAAACTGAAACCTGATTAAAGGTCAACCGGACTAATGAAGAACGGACATACGTCATGACATGTGCTGTAGGTTTAACGTCCTACTTTTCTGCACTAACCGGGATAATGAAGACGGACATACGTCATGAAATTGTTCATCAGATCGACCAGACGCCAGTCCCTGTCAGATCACGGTGGCTAAGTAGATAAGACGCTGGCTCGCTAGCCTGTAGGGCGAGTGTTCGATCCCTGCATTGGCCGAGAAAGTGGTGCCCGAGGGAGGACCTGACAAGGACAGCTGTCTAGTCTTTCGGATGGGACGAAAACCCGAGGTCCCGTGTATACATTGGCGTGCACGTAATCCTTTGGTACTTGGAAATCGATATAAGACTAGGCCTCAATAAGAGTAGGCCTCAGTGCCGGTGCCCGGGTAAAATTTCTCCCATAGCATACTGTATGGCGTATGCCCGTCTTCATTAGCCCAGTCGGAGCAGAACAGAAGGACGTTAAACCCCATTTCATTTCATTTCCTTCATAGCACACCGTGTGGTGTCTTCATTAGCCCAGTCGGAGCAGAACAGAAGGACGTTAAACCCCATTTCATTTCATTTCCTTCATAGCACACCGTGTGGTGTCTTCATTAGCCCAGTCGGAGCAGAACAGTAGGACGTTAAACCCCAGAAAAGTATTTCTGTAAGCCCCCTTTAATTAACACAGTCGAATGCTGTTTAGCGTCTTGTCCGCATCAAACACAACGGCGGTGTTTCGATACTAACATCTGACAAATTTGGCCCGGACAGCAGTGTCTCCCTCTGCCTGCTAGTCTTTAAAATCCAACTATCATATTATTGGTCTACCCACAAACCAATGTATACACGGGATGGACCTCGACTCTCCATACCCCTCGCTGATATCACCTCTCACAAGCGGAAACCGACCTCAATGAGTCTCACACCGGGACTCGAGCCCGGGACTTTCTTATCTACAGTACATGACAGTGACCCACCCTTTAATGCAATAACAATAGCGCAATGTAACAATAGATCTAACGCATACACGCAGTCAATATGTTTTGATGAAGTTCATGAATCGTTCAGATACAAATCAAACATCTAACAGAACAATAGCGAAATATTAAAGGAGACAAGTCGCTAACTCAATATCATCCACAGCGATCGACACATTCCAAACACGACTTAATGATCAATTTAAATCAACATTGGTGTTGTGATCTTACCGTGAAATGATGGGCTTCTGGTATCCAATATTTAAGACAAAATAAAAAATTTAAAATCGGCACACGAATCGCGTGCCAGAAAGCTTTCGAGTGCCTTTTGTATGAACCGACTAGATGAACGAGGCTAAACATATCCCATGCAGAAGAATACTCAGTGTAGAATGGAATAACCAGACGCCAAAGGCTGCCATTCAAACCGGACTCTTCGCATATTTCGCCAAACATAAGTGATTAGAAATTACAGTAAAAACAGGAACGATTGAATGTAAATCAGTTTATATACATTTATATTACGTTATTATATGCGTTGCGACCCACTTGTGTCAATTTCTAGATGCCACAGATTAGAGATTTAGCTCTTTAAACATACATTATGCAAGAGTTAAATCTGTCAATTGCAAGTCTTTCTTTAGGCCTGAAATGTTATATAAATTATTAATTAGACATTTATTAACAAAACACGACCATAATCAACTCTCGATGGCATCACTAGCCTGCGAAAAATTTACTGGATTAGAACCTGGTCTGCTGCTTCTGATTAATCAAAAAATGGATAATCGAAACTATGTTTTTTACCGTACCGACTTTAGTAATGATGATCGAGGCTAGGCCCAAAATTCAATCGCTAAATACTCTGTTCACGGTGGATCAATTTGACTGAAATTTTCAACAGATTTCCTTTACATTAAACATGCATTGTGCAAGAGCAAAATCTTCTTATTACAAGTCTTTCTTTAGGCCTGAAATGTTATCTAAATTATCAATTAGACATTAATTAACTTATCCAGACCATAATAAACTCTCGATATCAAGGCTAGCCTTCGATGTTGGCTGGATTAGATTCCTATATGCCGCTAACGGCTATTGATAATTAAATCAATAAAAGTGGATAATCGAGACTTTGCTGTTTATATTAATGATTTTAGTAATGATGACCGAGACTATGCAAAAATTTCACCCGCTTCTTTCTCGGCTCATAGTGGATCAATTTGACTGAAATTTTCAGCGAATTACCTTTACACTATCTAGTTTTTAACTATTATAGTGAGAACTGCCATCTCTTTATCTTATCTCCCATAATGTATCTTTATCTAGTTTTTAACTATTATAGTGAGAACTGTCAGCTCTTTATCTAATCTCCCATAATTTAACTTTAATATAACATAACAACTACGATTAGAGATTTAGCTCCTTTAAACGTCTAATAAAAATCATGCAATAATCCATTATTTACAGATAAAGTAGTTAAAGAAAATCCAAGCAACATTGAAACGGTCTAATGGTGTTTTTTTTTCCTCTCTAATCACACACAACGCGATTTACAAGCTTTAGAAATTATCGTGCAATTAGCCTGCACATCCGTCATGTTTGTGTGTTTATGCAAACAAGCGATATAAAATTCTATAAACTTGTGTCTGTTTGTACCAACATTAATTCTTATGTATTCAATAATGTAAACAAAAAAAAAATACAATTAGTTTGCTCTCAATTGACTTATTTAGTCGGTCAAAGATAACTGAACTGAAGATCTGTAGGCCCTATACACTATCAACCTCTCTCGGTAACATGTCGACACACTATCAACCTCTCTCGGTAACATGTCGACACACTATCAACCTCTCTCGGTAACATGTCGACACACTATCAACCTCTCTCGGTAACATGTCGACACACTATCAACCTCTCTCGGTAACATGTCGACACACTATCAACCTCTCTCGGTAACATGTCGACACACTATCAACCTCTCTCGGTAACATGTCGAAACACTATCAACCTCTCTCGGTAACATGTTGACGCACTACCAACCTCTCTCGGTAACATGTCGATACACTATCAACCTCTCTCGGTAACATGTCGATACACTATCAACCTCTCTCGGTAACATGTCGATACACTATCAACCTCTCTCGGTAACATGTTGACACAATATCAACCTCTCTCGGTAACCTGTTGACACACTATCAGCTTCTCTCGGTAACATGTTGACGCACTATCAACCTCTCAGTAACATGTTGACACACTATATAGGCAACTATAGGTCTTTAGAAGTGGGAGGAAACCGGAGGACCCGGAGAAAACCCACGAGGCTGGACAGGCGACCCTACTCCTTGTCACGTACAACCGGGGATTCGAAACCACGCCAGTCGACTCAATGACAGACTTTATGATACAGCCCGCGCACGCTAACCATTCAGCCATCCAACCCCCCAGAGAGAGAGAGAGAGAGAGAGAGAGAGAGAGAGAGATTATGCGACATTTTAACCCGACAATACGATATTTTTACGCGACATTACGACATTTTTGATGTCGTAGTGTCGACTGAAAATGTCGTATTGTCGGGTTAAAAGTGTCGTGATGTCGCGTTGTCGGGTTAAAATGTCATGATGTCGGGTTGGCGCCGTATTAAGGGCGACACCATGACACCATGACACGATACCAATCAGCCGCAATATTATATTGTATCTCTGTGCCAGAACCGTGATACAAGGACAGCCCTTCGGATATGACGGAAAACCTTGGTCCCTTGTACATACTGACGTGCACGTAAAGGAACCCATCACAGCGGGAATTCGGAAAAAATGAGTAGAAAGTAGCGAGAGAGAGAGAGAGAGAGAGAGAGAGAGAGAAATGGGGTTTAACGTCCACTCGACACAAACTAGGTCATTTCGGGACTGACATACGGTTTTAATTTTATTTCAATAATTCGCTTGCGCGTAAGGGTCTTTAGCAGTGGGAGGAAACCGGAGGACCCGGAAAAAACCCACGAAGTTGGACAGGCGACCCTACTCCTTGTCACGTACAACCGGGGATTCGAAACCACGCCAGTCGACTCAATGACAGACTGTATGATATAGCGCGCGCACGCTAACCATTCGGCCATCCACTCCCCCCTGTAGACAGTAGCGCTGCTGTTGAGGTAAAATGTCCCCCATAGCACACTATATAGGTATGCACGCGATCATTCTCACAGCCAATACAGAAGAGTAGGACGTTAAACCCCATTTCATTTTATTTCATTTCTTTACCTCATAGCCGTCCAAAAATGGTTCCGTTCTCCCCCATTCAGTATTTACAAGGGTGTGTGAAATTGAAATTTCACCGCGCTATGGCTTTCCATATGTAATAAGCCTGTCGCCATTTTGTTGTCCACAAAAATCTATTAATAGATCTGTTTTAGATCGATTATATCCATACTGGGCACAGGCACTTGAAGGGATTAAAATAAAACTTCTTACTACTAGGGATTAAAATAAAACTTCTTACTACTAGGGATTAAAATAAAACGTCTTACTACTAGGGATTAAAATAAAACTTCTTACTACTAGGGATTAAAATAAAACGTCTTACTACTAGGGATTAAAATAAAACTTCTTACTACTAGGGATTAAAATATTTGTCTAGTGTTGGTATTTTGATTTTCTGTTCTAGATTTAATGTTAAATAACCAATCTGAGTATCCGTGGATATTAAGCCTCGAAAAATTTGATATTTTAACGCAAAGTGTAAATATGCATCATTACTTTAATGTTAAAATACCAGATGTTACTCTGTATTATGCATTCTATTCACAGGCATTTCGATTTGTAACAGAATAACATATATTTATTGTAATTGAATTTGCCTGTCTACAGTTCATACTCAACTTAGGCTGGTCTGTCTACAGACACTAAGCTAGTTGACAAACATTTTAAGTCCTAAATCGACGATTTGAGTCAAAAACACTAAGTATACCTTGAGAAGTATTTATTCTGCTTCCATGGAATTGAAAAGTTTTTTTTAGTCTTTGGTGTAATGCCAGATATGAAACAGAAATGAAATGAAATGGGGTTTAACGTCCTACTGATCTGCTCCGACTGGGCTAATGAAGACGGACATACGCCATACAGTGTGCTATGAGGGAAATTTTGCCTGGACAGAGGCACTACGACCTAGTCTTATATCGACTTCAAACTGTCAAGGGATCTTTTAAGTGCACGACAATGTGTATACGGGACCTCGGTTTTTCGTCCCATCCGAATGACTAGACAGCTGTTCTTCTCAGACCCTCCGTCCTGCATCACTGACATGGGGGAACCACGCCGGAAAATCTGGATGAACTTTCTCGGCCAATGCAGGGATCGAACACCGATGTGAAATAAGAGTAAACCGCATTACAAAACAGTATACTAAATTTTAGATATGGCGGCCATTTAGGACAGAGATCTATTCTCGAAGTATGAAGAAGATCGAGCTCTGTGTACAGAATGTCTAAAATTAGCTCAGCTTAAAGGGACAATAACACTCTTGCTGGCTTGACAGCTCCAGAAAATAAAAAATAGCCTTATTCTAAGTACTAGATGTGTTAGTGTCCCACCTGTTGTGTAAATTATCCATTAAATCCTATTTTACTTGTCCAGAGGGTTCAAAAATATTTTTAAATCTAAGTCACATTTGAAAAGCTTTACGTCAGGCTTTTCAAATCATTTATTTGAATTTTTCCAATTTTTTAAATTAGTTGTGTTAAGATGAAATTTGTATCATCAATTAATTGGAATATTGTAAAATAGTACAATTTGTTGACCAGAATAAAGATTGGGACATATTATTCAGTTACAACAAGAGTGATATTGAGCCTTTAATAACAGACACGGCCATGGAGGCCTAACGTTATTATTCCAGTATTTAACAAAAATTCTTTAAGAACCTAAATAAACGAAATGAAAATGAAAAACAAAGTCAAAATCAAAAATGAAACAGAAAGAAAAGTAAAGATAGGCTGCCAGGCAACGAAACATGAGCACACAGCAGCTAAATCGTCCTCGAGGCCAACAAGGTTTCTCGCATACTTGTAGGTACTGTTAGGGGGGGGGGGGTTACAAGACAATTTCATACAGGTCAAATTATAATTTGCATTCTTTGAGAGTTCTCAAGGTGTTACAAGATGAAACAAGGACCTTAACTCTGGAAGTAATATAAATTGTTGAAATTCGAAAGCCTTTTTCGTTTTACTAATCTAAATAATTTCATACATATTGGATGATGACTTGTCGTTCGACATTGTTCAACAATATGAAACAAGGTCCATAACTCGAGAATTAATTATTTACATGATGCATACAATTTTCATACAGATCGGATGATAACTTTTGTCGTTGGCGCGTTCACAAAGTGCAACAAATTGAACGAAGTGTCATAACTCCTGATGAAATTGACGGAAATTGCTGAAATTCAATCAGATTCTTCATTTCACTAATTTAAATAATGTATATAAATATAAATATCTTACAGATTGGATGATGACTTTTGATGTGAGAATGTTCACAGGGTTCGACAAAGTCAAACAAGAGCAATATCTCTCGACGTAATTAACGGAAATTGCTGAAATAGGCTTCTTCGTTTCACTAATTTAAAGGATGTACATAAATTTCATACAGATCGGATGATATTTTTTAATCGTTAGAGCGTTCACAGGGTGCAAGGGTCATAACTCCAAAAGAATTTAACAGAAATTTTTGACATTGAATAGGATTGTTCATCTCACTAATGTAAACAAAATGTATCAATGGGATAAAATTGTGACCTGTAGAGTATCCACAAGCAAATTGTGGACGGACGGACGGACCGTCCGACAGACAGATAGACAGGTGCGACGACAAAATACGTTCATATGAAAATATTGTGTCAGAAGGTAGAAATATAATATTTTATTTGCATTTCATCGATTTTTTGTTATCCTGGGTGGTAGAAACTTATGTGTAGGCTAAATATCTGATTTACTGAGACTTTGATGTAAACACCTGCCTCAGTTTAATAGGTACTAATTAAATAAAGGAACCCAGTGGATAAGAGTGCGCGTGAAATCACGAGGTCTTTCTTTGAGTCAGGTGGCGTGGTTTCAATTTTCCACATGTACGCGACAAGAAGTAGGGTTGCCTGTGTCTAGCCTCTGTTTACCTCTCACTCTGGAGTGGTTGGATGGCTGAATGGTTAGCACGTGCGCGTTGTATCATGAGGTCTGTCATTGAGACAAGGAGTAAGGTCGCCTGTCCAATCTCATGGGTTTTCTCCGATTCCTCGGGTTTCCTTTCACTGCTAAAGACCCCTACGCGCAAGCGAATTATTCAATTAAAATTGAAACGAGTGTTAGTCCCGAAATGACCTGGTTTGTGTCGAGTGGACGTTAAACCCCATCTCTCTCTCTCTCTCTCTCTCTCTCTCTCTCTCTTTCTCTGAATAGTGAATAAGGCGTTCACTTGTCATTCATTCATTATTTCTCCAAATAAAAGTCTACCATATGTTGACTCGGACAATACAATCAGTTGCATAAATTACAGTTTAAAATCAGAAATGTTCCTGGACTTAAGTCTATAGGCGTGTAGAACGGTCGATGAGGTTTCTAGCACAGACCTACACAGTTATTATTATTTACTCTATCTATCGATTTTATAATTATCATTAATAACAAATATAATAGAATATTTACACCTGAAACCTGCGACTAACAGTTGTTATAATAACTAACTATTCATTCATTCATAAGCTGGAAAAGGGTACAGGCAAAAGAAAAAGGTAAAAATGATAAACTTTAAAATTATTTTTATTAACATTTGAACCAGTGGTCATCAAACGACCTTAATTGTTGTTGTTAAGTAGTTTTAGTCTATTGCACCACTTTTTAAACGTTGCAATCCGCGTCTATCAAGAAATTTAAAAATAAAATTGTTAAATGTTATTGGAGGTTGGGTGGACCGAGTGTTTGGTGACCTGTCTTCATTAATGCAGTCAGAGCAGAACAGTAGGACGTTAAACACATTATCCCCCCTTTTCAGTTAATGTTTGATGACGTTCTGTGTTAACGGAGCTTTAAACTTTAAACCTTGGAAATTGAAACTAAGGACTTGGTCTTCAACTGTTGAAAACATCCGACCTTGAAATATCTTGACCTGTCCTTTTATAAAACAGTGATTGGTAGCTTTGACGGGATTCACTCCACAAGGCGGCCATGAATATGCCTCTATGGCCAAATTACAGACGTGTAATTTCTGTAGACTTTCATAGGGTGCCTGATAAAGTCTATTACATACGAGTTCAATTTAGAGTTCTGTAAACATTACACTTATAACCTATAGTGGTTTACATACCAGTTAAATGTTACGTAGACATTAAAAATGTAACCTATAGTGATTTTATACGAGTTAAATGTTATGAAGACATTAAACGTGTAACCTATAGTGGTTTCCATACGAGTTAAATTTAATTCTCTAGACATTACGCATGTAGCCTATAGTAGTTTTAATAATGTTACAGTTAATTCTATAGACATTACGCATGTAGCCTATAGTAGTTTTAATAATGTAACAGTTAATTCTATAGACATTACACGTGTAACCTATAGTGGTTTCCATACGAGTTAAATGTTATGTAGACATTACACATGTAACCTATAGTAGTTTTAATAATGTAACAGTTAATTCTATAGACATTACGCATGTAGCCTATAGTAGTTTTAATAATGTAACAGTTAATTCTATAGACATTACACGTGTAACCTATAGTAGTTTTAATAATGTTACAGTTAATTCTATAGACATTACACGTAATAATCTATAATGCTTTTCTGAGATGGTGTGTAGTTTTGTGGAACAGACTTCCCATAGACATCAAAAGATCCGAAACATTGAACACTTTTAAGTCAAAGTTTAAGACATTATTTTCAAGCAAATATATGACCAGAGCCCTTGAGGAGTTCACTGGAAAGAATTCCGCTCTACAAATTCATAATTTATTATTATTATTATTATTAATTCATAAGTTTAATTCTGTACACATATAGTCTGTAGTGGTTTTAGTACGTGTTAATTTTGGTTGTCCATAAGAAGTACATCCAATGATATGAAATAAAATGACATATTTTATATCTTAGCATATTTTCAGCTTCCATGATGAAAACCCTTGCCGCCATCTTCATTACACTTTCACTTCTGCTAACCGTTGTGACGTCACAGTGTTATTTTGATGATTTTGGAAAAGGTAAAGAAAACTAGATTTAAATAAAGCATCTGAGTGAAAACCACAATAAGAATTTATTTAGAGGTTTATTGTTGATATAATAATTCCTGGGTCCTACTTACCACCGACAATAACCGAGAAGACCGTTTGTCTTGTTTATAGATACATTGCTGTCGACAAGGGAAATGAAATGAAATGGGGTTTAACGTCCTACAGTTCCGAACTGGGCTAATGAAGACGGGCATGCGCCTTACAGTGTGCTATGCGAGAACTTTTGCCCGGACAGCGGAACTACGACCTACTTTTATATTGACTTCCAATTGCCAATGGATCTTTTACGTGCATGCAAATATATACACGGGACCTCGGCTTTCTTCCCATCCGAACGACTAGACATCCCTCTCAGTGATAGTAACGACCATTTGATTATAATTATAGGCCTACTGCTTGTCACTTTGTTTTTAAACATGCATTATGCAAGAGCTAAATCTGATTATTGCAAGTCTTAATTTAGGCTTCAGATGTTATAGAAATTATAAATTAGATCTTTATTTAAACAACAAGACCAAAATCAACTCTGTAGACCCACGGATAGCTCGGCTACAGCTCGGATTTAAATAGGATTTCACTAATTGATTAAATCAAATAAGGGATAACCTGATGAAAATACGTCAGTTAGATCGAGGCTAAATGATAGAGTGTACTTAGCGAGGCCGCTGTAAAGCGTTTCGGTATGCCATTGAAAACTTTACTTGATAATCGAGATATGTAGGTGGAGTTAACGCCTGTCAATTAAACGATCAGCGAAGGTGAAGACACAATTCGCTACCATTTCTAGGCAAATATTACAACGATGATAACTATGTTCAGAATAAAGTAATTTGACTGAATTTTTCAATATATTCTTCTTTCATCATCTACTTTTGAACTGTTATAGCAAGAATGGCCAACTCTCTATAAAAATCTCCCATAATGTATCTTTAAGTGTTGTTGGTGTTACGGAGCCACGGTGGCTAGGTGGTTAAGACGCTGGCTCGCTAGCCTTGAGGTCGGGTGTTCGATCCCTGCATTGGCCGAGAAAGTTCATCCTGATTTTCCGACGTGGTTTCCCCTTGTCAATGGTGCAGCACGGAGGGCCGGGCAAGGACAGCTGTCTAGTCCTTCAGATGAAACGAAAAACCGAGGTCCCTTGAATACATTAGAATGCACGTAAAAGATCCCTTGGCAGTTGGAATTCGATATAAGAGTAGGCGATAGTGCCGCTTCCCGGGCAAAATTTCCCTCATAGCACACTGTATGGCGTATGCCCATCTTCGTTAGCCCAGTATAGGAGCAGAACAGTAGGATGTTAAACCCCATTTTATTTTCATAAGTGTTGTTGGCTTTTATTTTAGGTGCAGAAAAATGTGAATTCTATATCAATCGAAATAGGTGAGTAAATTGTGTGATTTATACATGCACTGAACACGTCCGTCGTAACGAAATTAATATTGGGGAGGGGCGGGGGAAGGGGGGATCTTTCAAAATAGCGAACCGAAAACGAACACATACTTGCAAGTTATACTATGACTTATACCTGTACAGTAGATTATACCACTCCCCCATATACTACCACTTTTACCTGACTATGACTTACACCATGACTTATACCTGTACAGTATATTTTATCACTACCTGTATACCATGACTTTCACCTGTATACTATGAATTATATTGTATATAATATCACCAGTATACCATGATTTATACCTGCACACCATGACTTATACCTATATACCATGGCTTATACCTGTATACCATGGCTTATACCTGTTCACCATGACTTGTACCTGTTCACCATGACTTGTAACTGTTCACCATGACTTGTACTGTATATAATATCAATACCTATATACCAGTTTTTGGACTGCGCGTTGAACATACTCATGCGTGGATATTACGCAATTTAAATAGTTTATTATTATTATTATTTCAGTCCCCATGTACCTATCAAGAGAGGTGAGAAGAAGAAAGTTGAGAGTTATTGTTGTGATTGTAAAATAGAACCTGACGATACTCTATCAATGTCATGTTGTGCTCCAGGTGGAGAGTAAGTTTATAATACTAATCACAAATTATTCTTGATTCACCACCGTTAGAAACATGCATCCCGTCGATCTTATCCGTGTGGTCAATGTCTAACAGTGAAACGGTTCTGCTCCGACTGGGCTAATGAAGACGGGGATACGCTATACAATGTGCTATATATGGGAATTCTTTACAAGGGCAGCGGTACTACGGCCTACTCTTATGTTGACATCCAACTGCCAAGGGATCTTTTACTTGAATGCCAATGCATACACGGGACAGGTGTCCTTGTTAGGCCCCCCGGCCTGCACCACTGACAAAGGGAACCCGCGTCAAAAAATTCCGCTGTACTTTCTACACGCGACCTCCAGGCTAGCGAGCCAGCGTCTTACCCACTTAGACGCCGTGGCTCCGACTGGGCTAAAGAAGACTAACATATGCCATACAGTGTGTTATGCCCGAACAGCTGACACCTTGCCTATCGAATTCCAGCTGTCAAAGGTTATTATACGTGCACGCCAATTTGTACACCAGACCACGGTTCTCCGCCAAAACGGAACGACCACATTTATCTAACAAGAGGTCTAAATAGGACAAGGGGACTGTCAACAGATCGGAAGTGAAATAAAATGGGGTTGACCTTTTAACATTTCTGCACCAACTGTGTCAATTAAGCCGGACCCGGACCTACGCTACACCATTTGCTATGGCAATTTCGCCCAGGCAGTGACACTACGGCATACTCGTATTTTAGTATTTGGATGGTCAAAAGATGCTTAAAACACACGCGTAGAATGGTTTATACGAGACCTAGACTTTTCGTAACAACCGAACGACTATAGGCCGTTCCTTGTCAGTCCCTCCGTCGTATACCATTAATAGAGACAAACTCCTGGTTACACTGTAAATAATATTTGTGTATTTTTACTGTAAATTGACTGGCAGAAAGTTGCCAGTAAAATGACTGTATTTTAACACTTGTAAATTTACACCTAAGTGGTAGATTTAGATTTACAAACACCATTTAAATTTACAGTGAATGTAAAATAACTTTGTTGTAAATTTGCATTGTTCTTGTAAATAGAACGTGAGGTAAATTTACATTCACTGTAAATTTACACTGTGGTCGTAAATTTACCTCAATGTTATCTTACACTCCCTGTACCTCAAAGGTATCTTACACCCACTGTAAATTTACACTACGGTTGTAAATATACCTCAATGTTATCTTACACTCACTGTACCTCAAAGTTATCTTACACTCACTGTAAATTTACACTACGGTTGTAAATATACCTCAATGTTATCTTACACTCACTGTACCTCAAAGTTATCTTACACTCACTGTAAATTTACACTACGGTTGTAAATATACCTCAATGTTATCTTACACTCACTGTACCTCAAAGTTATCTTACACTCACTGTAAATTTACATGAAGTTTCAATTTACCATTTAGGGGTACATTTACAAGTCATGGCAGTGTTAAAATACGATGATTTTACTGGCAACTTTCTGCCAGTCATTTTACGGTAAAATACAATTTGAAGTGTATATTTACTTGAAATATACTTTGAAAGTGTTTGTTGCCACTCGGCTAAGTCGTCCTAGGTTAGATCCTGGCGAACACATAATGATTTTCAGACCTTTCAGCCTAGCATGCAAAACATCATTCGATAATGGAAAGAAATTAAATGAAATGGGGTTTAACGTCCTACTGTTCTGCTTCTTACAATGGAAAGAGTAGGAGGCATGACACGAAGCAAAATGTCCCACACAACCCATATATGGCATGTTACTGTCTACATACGCCAGTTAGGTGCATTCAGATTTTGAATAACCTATTTCTCTCCAATAAACTAATCTGACTGACATAACAGTAAATATTTTGCACAAAATTCGATATGTGGTCGAAGGGCAATAACCGATTTGAACACTAGTTGACAGTTAATTTGCAATTTGTTGTAAAAATACTAATTCAAACGGCATTTCTGTTAATATACAGCTCACATAATGTAAACTTACATATGGTTGTATTTCTACATTACGTTTGATGTAATCTTTCATGTAAAAATAATATTTCAAATGACAATTCTGTTAATATACAGCTCACAAAATGTAAACTGTCATATGGTTTGATGTAATTTTACATAAGCTTTGTATTCATATGCATTTATATCGTTTTAAATGTAAGTTAACAAACTATGTGATATTACAAATCGGACACTGTATTTTAAGTATACTTATAACTGTAAACATACATATAATTTTAACAGGTTAATATGGATCTTTTACGTACACACCAACGTGTACACGGGACCTCGGTGTTTCGTCCCATCCGAACGACTAGACAGCTATCCTTGTCCGACCCTCCGTCCTGCATCACTGAAAAGGGGGAACCTGGATGAACTTTCTCGGCCAATGCAGGGATCGAACACCCGACCTCCAGACTAGCGAGTCTGCGTCTTACCCACTTAGCCAACGTGCCCCCCTCATACGTGGACTATAGTATAGACGAAAAGTAATAAAGCCTTAAAAGGTCTATCAATGTTAAAGTTCTAAAGAGATGTACTATTACACGTTTCCTGTAAATCTGTATCAATACAGATTACATGTAATAAAAATACAGTTTTAACTTGTAAGACTACACTTTTATTGTTAATTTCCAAATTTATTTTACAGTAATCCCATGTTACCGCACTAATACATTAAATTTATAGTATAAAAACATGCAGTGGTATTTTTACAGCGTTATGTTAAAGAAATTACATATTTTTCACTGTAATTTTACATTTATTTTTAACAGTGTGCACTGGGTTATCGTGCACTGAGATTGAGATTGGGCTGTTTGAGCAGCATAAGTACCAATCACAAAAATATAAAATATAATTTCAGAACGGACCATCATTGTCAACCATTTAAAACTTAGCTCACAATTTAATGTTCTACGAAAACTTTTCAAGTAGGGGTAATATTTCTTGTTACGGATGATCTCTCAAGCTCCTTGTCATTGTCATAACTACACTACATAACTAATACCACTAACAGGTTGACATGCAAATATGAAAGTAATCTTTGTTGTGCTATACTGGGAGCTGAGATAAATAATTCACGGACCACATATAGGTCATTATATTATATTGCCATTAATCTCTGGGTCCATGTTTCTAAAAACTTCGATTTTACCATTATTGGACCTTGTTCCTGGTGTCATTGAAGTTATCATATACAAAGCTGGTCGTCTGTTTTAGAGAGAGGGAGAGCGAGAGAGAGAGAGAGATAGAGAGAGAGAGAGACGCACACCCACCCAAGATCCATTCACGTGTTCGTTGGTGTGCAGGCGAGGGGGGAGGGGGTTGGCGTGGAAACCAAAACACGAGTAAACACACCGGATGATTTAGGGAGAGAGAGCGTTTAACGTCCAGTCGACACAAACTAGGTCATTTCGGGGCCATCATAAGGTTCAATTTTAATTCAATAATTCGCTTGCACGTGTGTGTATGTGGGGGGGGGGGCGTACCCCGGGGTAAACGGCCGACCATACTTCTTGTCACCTACAAGTGGGGGCTCAAAACCATGCCACTAGAGTCGATGGCAGATCCTACCACGCGCTTGCAAAGTGGCATTTTCCACCCTCCATATATACACATAATAATATATAGAGACAAGTTGTTTAATTGTGTCCATTAGCTTAATTGTTATAATAATGAGTATGCATGGAATTTTATGCAACATTAATTCGCAAAGGATTGACAACTTATTAGTAGAATGCCCGGTCCTTCATGCGGAACCAGAAAGTCGGTCCTGTGGTGTTCCAGAATCTTGGTCCAGGGAGAGGAGGCGGCATCATAGCAGTGGGATACATAGATCAAGCTCTCAAAACCCCACGTCATACCACATTTCCCACGTTATGGAAACAACGTTTTCCAGCATGACAACGCCCGTGCCCACAAAACCAGAGTTACTCTGGACTTTCTACAGCAGAACGGTGTCAACATTATGGACTGGCCAGCCCTTAGTCCCGACTTAAACCCGATTGAACATCTTTGGGGTGAAATTCAGAGGAGACTGAATAACTTCGTACCGAGACCAATGTGTTTCCAGGTGCCAATGGCATTCATCAGTCGTCTAGACCACTCCATGTGCAGACACTGCGCTGCTGTTACTGACACTTGCGATGGACACCCCAGATACTGATGTATAAACTGTGTACAGACTCTTAACCTTCTCGTAATGTCTTGGAATTGTGATCACTAATGTGTCAACATACTGTTCACACAAAATTGCTTTGATCCGTTTAGTAAGTCGTTTTCTAGAATGATCTGATTCAAGTGCCTCTCTGATTTTGAAATCGCACTGACGGTTTTTTTTGTTGCTCAATATATTATGTTTGTCCCGAAATGAACTAGTTTGTCGCGAACTAGGAACCCAGTGAATTAGAGTGCGCATGACATCACAAGATCTGTATTTGAGTCAAGTGGCGTGGTTTCGATTTCCCTCAAGTACGCGACAAGAAGTAGTTTGCCTGTGTCTAGCCTTCCACTGCTAAAGACACCCTGCGCACAAGCGAATTATTGAAATAAACTTGAATCTATAAGTTAGTCCCGAAATGACTCTGTGTGTGTGTGTGTGTCTCCTCTCTTTCTCTCTCTCTCTCTCTCACTGAATAACCTTTCTTAATAGATAACTAATAAAACATTCATTACAAACAATTCAAGCGGAAGCAATTTATATTTAGCAATTAAATAATTGGTTATTTTTTCTTTAGGCTTCAATTCAATTCAAGTTTATTCTAATCTGAACATTAAAAGCATTTTTCCTTGCCAATTTCTTCCTAAATTTAGACATAAACGTCAACTGGTAAACATATTGTTATTACTGAAACACTCCTTCAATTAAAAACAATCACTGACAAGGGGGAACCACGCCGGAAAATTTGGACGAAGTTTTCCAGCCAATGCAGGAATCGAACACCCGACCTCCAGGCTATCGATCCAGCGTATTACCCACTTTGTGACCCTGACACACTCATAAGTGGACAATAGTATAGACGAAAAGTAATGAAGCCTTAAAAGGTCTATCAATGTTAAAGTTCTAAAGAGATGTACTACTACACGTTTCCTGTAAATCTGTATCAATACAGATTACATGTAATAAAAATACAGTTTTAATTTGTAAGACTACACTTTTATTGTTAATTACCAAATTTATTTTACAGTAATCCCATGTTATGGCACTAATACAGTAAATTTAGAGTATAAAAACATGCAGTGGTATTTTTACAGCGTTATGTTAAAGAAATTACATATTTTCACTGTAATTTTACATTTATCTTTAACAGTGTAGGGACCTAGTGGCGGTATATAGACTTGAGAGACCGTGGCTCGCTACAGATATCATAAACAATTAAACACCTTATATGTGTGACAAATTACACTTTTATTAATAACGTTACAAAAAGCACAATGCAAAAAAAAACAAAAACAAAAAAAAACCCCATCAGATTCCAGTACATTATTCTAGCGTCGGCTGTATGGCGAATTCGAACATTAGATCTACTAGCTACAAATGTCGTGTGTTTAACGCTACAATTGATACAGTCTAAGACTCCTAACGCAAGTACAAATAGGTTCAAACGCACAATTGTCAACACATATCATTACAGTTTGTATTGAAATAAGTAATTCTATCAGATATAGTGAAGACTGGATCACTAAAATAGTTATTGAACAGTTTGTCTTCGTGGTAATTATGCATTCTACAATGTAAGCCGCCATGACACCAGTCTGGTGAAATCTCGCCAAATTCGCGTAACAGTTGGGTTTCATCAAATCATATAATTATGCAGTAAGACGTCACCTTTATTTCAATGGGAATTGGTTTATTATATGTTAAAGATACATTATGGGAGATTTTTATAGAGAGTTGGCCATTCTTGCTATAACAGTTCAAAAGTAGATGATGAAAGAAGAATATATTGAAAAATTCAGTCAAATTACTTTATTCTGAACATAGTTATCATCGTTGTAATATTTGCCTAGAAATGGTAGTGAATTGTGTCTTCACCTTCGCTGATCGTTTGATTGACAGGCGTTAACTCCACCTACATATCTCGATTATCAAGTAAAGCTTTCAATGGCATACCGAAACGCTTTACAGCGGCCTGGCTAAATTTAGCCTCGATCTAACTGACGTATTTTCATCAGGTTACCCCTTATTTGATTTAATCAATTAGTGAAATCCTATTTAAATCAGAGCTGTAGCCGAGCCATTCGTGGGTCTACAGAGTTGATTTTGTCTTGTTGTTTAAATAAAGATCTAATTTATAATTTCTATAACATCTGAAGCCTAAATTAAGACTTGCAATAATCAGATTTAGCTCTTGCATAATGCATGTTTAAGCTATGTGCAGTACAGTTTGGGACCAGTTTATGTCTAAATTAAGGGGACTATAGGCTAGTAAACTTTTTGTAGTCATTTGACTAAAAAACTTGTGCAAAGGAACTCCGTAGGACGAGCCACTACTGTGGCTGGAGTAAGGCGGAAGACATCAGTAGTGGAACCATTTCTATAGATCTACTTTCTAGTTCCCGGATTACAAATGGCCGTGAAGTGTGTTTTTACTTACAAAGCTTTCAATGTCTTAAGCGACCCATACACGTTCAATTTTTTCGCCAATTAATAGACGAAAAAATTGAACGTGCATGGACCGCTTTAAGCTGTTTTTCTTTTATGTTTATCCGATTGTCTGCCAACAAAGGAAAAATTTGCAATTAAAACAAACTCTACACACCCTTGGAACGACGCAATTTTGAGAGCTTCTGTCTAAAAGCAGCAAGTTTTCCTGTTAATTAAACCGGTAGCCGTATGGTAATTGTATACATGTAGGTGTACATATCACGCACCTTCATACAGCCGAGGCTAGATGTAGGGTACCGGAGACTGGTAAGGTTTGACGAGTGAGACTAGATGCACACGTGGTGTTAACGTAACGTGTACTTCATACGAGCGGCTTTAGACCTATGACGTCAGACATTTGATTAACCAATCAGCGTTGATGTACAAAAACGCACAAAAACTCGCCGTAACAGATATTTCCATTGGCTAATCCCTCACATCATCCAAAACGCGGGTTATATAACAACTCTTCCAGATCCTAGCGTAGTAAAGACAAGTAAAACGAAATTTTGAACTATAAAAAACGAAACGAAATAGGATCTGTGTTTTAGTCAAATTGATTTAACTGTTATCTTCAAACCCCGTGTTTGAAAATAATCATGTCGAGATCAACATTTAAATCAGATTATGTCGATATTAAAGGGACAATAACACTCTTGCTGGCTTGACAGCTCCAGTAAATAAATATTAGCCTTATTCTAAATATTAGATGTTTAAGTTTCCAACCTGTTGTGTAAATTATCCATTACATCCTATTTTACTTGTCCAGAGGGTTCGAAAATATTTTTAAATCCAAGTCACATTTGAAAAGGTTTACGTTAGGCTTTTCAAATCATTTATTTGAATTTTTCCAATTTTTTAAATTAGGTGTGATAAGATGAAATTTGTATCATCAATTAATTGGAATATTGTAAAATAGTACAATTTGTTGACCAGGATAAATATTGGTACATATTATTCTGTTACATCAAGAGTGGTATTGAGCCTTTAATACGCAAATAATTATTGTTTTATTTTTCAGATGTAAATAAAAGACTATACAATAATGGTACTCATGGTTACTATAGAGGACAGCCATCTTAGATAATCTGTTATCAATATCTAAATCTGTAAAATTCTGTTTTTAACACTTGTCGCCGGAATGAGTGACTGTATAATGAATATAGTATAAAAATAAATGAAAATATGTTCGCATTATTGTTGCCAATAAAGCTTCCTATTGACAGGAAATGAACCCAACTTTTACCGGACACTGACGTTTACGTTTACACTTCACCAGACACGAGTTCTTGTTCCTCAACGTATCTAGGTGGACTTGCCGTTTTACTCAGAAGCTTCTAGTCCAATAACCAGGGCAAACCAGCTGCAAATTACCCAGGAACTGTCTCGGCCACCACCGGGATCGTACCCGGGGTCAACAGGTTAGTCATCCAGGATCTTAATCACCGCGGATCTTAAATGGAATTGAGGAAAATTCGAAATACTGTCTACGAATTGGAGATGATGCATTTAAAAGATGGGCAACATTTTAACATCACATCTAATAACAGGGAACAGATCTAACATTGCAACAAAAACACAGAGCAACGAGGTAATCCTATATACACACCCTTCCCCCCCTTTACAACCCCCACCCGCTTCCCGTGACCCCACAAACATTGCAATAAGTTTCTGTCAAAGTGTATACAGTACTGCTAGCAATATATAGGTGCTGGCTGAAAAGTTCTAAGCCTATCTGTGAAAGACCTGCACAAAGTTAATGGTTTCCAATTATTTTACTAATAGCCACCTTCAATGTTGCACGGCCTGGATCCCAGTCCGGAAGAAATTGTCTTCAGCCACCATCATTCACAGCTGACATGCACGGCCTGGATCCCAGTCCGGAAGAAATTGTCTTCAGCAGTCATCATTACTGGGAAAATGACGACCGACTAGTTACTTTTTGATTTTGGAAACAGGTCTCATCCATGGTTACCAGTTTGCCCAAAAAATAGCAGGATCGGCTAAGGCCAAAAAATAGCAAGGTCTGCTTCAAAATGGCGACGATTGTCACGGGACATGAGGAATCTGACACGTTTCTGATTCACAGTCGAAAGCTTTGGTATCCATCTTTTAGAAACTTTTGTCATATCTAACTCGTTGGCGATAATGTTCCCAGCCCTCTCATGAGAGATGCCCGCAACACTGGCAATATGTTGACTGGCCATTCGTCAATCAGGCATCACCATGTCATGCACCCAAGTAATGTTTTCTTGAATGGTTGATGTCGATGGCCTTCCAGGACACGATTATCGTCACAGCTAAAATTCCACAGCCCACTTCTTTACTGTGGAAAAGGAAGGGACATCATCCCCTAAAATTCCCCAGCCCACTTCGTTACTGTGGAAATCATCCGCTAAAGTGGAGACCATATCGGCATGTATCTGTGTTGGGGTTAGTCCTTTTAGTTGCGGGTACTTATCACTGGTGGTGACATCAATGGGTAGGTTCACAAGATGGTCTGGTACAAAGACAATAATAACACTACAGTTACAGTTCTTATGGCTATGATTCATTGAATCATGATACTTGTTGGTGGCAAAGGTTTGTTTCAACCAAATTGATCTATCGTTTTAAGGCTTAGAACTTTTCAGCCAAATTCGAAGGGTTTTTTACATACTGGAAATCTTAAAGATCCAAAATTGCCGCCACAATATATTTGCAGGAAGTGGCGCCTATCAAAAATTGAAAGTTAAAGCAATGGGTAGCACGTCAACTTGCTAAGGTGCTTGACTACGTGTGAAGAATCAATATCTATGTCCGGACCCCCCTCCCCCGGTACTTTTTCTATGTATCAGGATCTACTTCGATCATTTGGAACCCTTCAGTTTACCGCGACATGGTGAGATTTAGAGAGAATAAATATGATTTGAAAGTTCAACAAATCTCTAAAATGGTCGAATTTGTCGTTTGAAATATTATTGTAAAATGGGTCAGATCTCAATATTAAGGCCCCCTGCAGATGTCTCCAGGTCACGAGATATAAACGAGGTGAGGGCACGTGATTGTTGCCGATGTTTGAGGTTGTTTACATGTCGTATTCTTGACGAAATCTACAGATGGCCTTAATAATTAGATCTAACATTTAAAACGACGTCAGTACCGGACGACATGTGTTTGTTTGCGGAACTCCTTTTTTTGAAATGGGGTTTAACGTCCTACTGTTCTTCACCGAACTGCTCATGAAGACGGATTTCGACTAATAAATTAAGCAATTTAACGGATGTTTCTGCATTACCATGACAATTTCCATTAGTACACCGGGGATTAGGTGGTCGAGATGTCTAAGACGTGCGCACGTTCGCTTTAGATCATAAGGTATGTCATTGATTCAAGTGACATGGTGTCTATCCGTGTAGGGTCGCTTCCCACTCCCGTCGAATAAAGACCCCCTACATGCAAGCGAATTATTTACATAAAAATGTACCATATATTAGTCACGAAATTACCTAGGTTATGTCGAGTGGACGTTAAACACCATTTCTTTCCCTCATTTTAAAGGTTAAAGAGAATCGTTGAAACTCGACATAACTGCGTCGCAGGTTTAGTTTCAAAATACAACTATACAACAATCAACCAGTTGAACACAGGGTACCTGATCGATAAAAATACAAAATGTACAAAATGGACCAAGGAGCTAAAAATCTGATCACACGACTTTTTGACAAACGACTCCTTTAAGCCAAGACGTTTTAGCGTCGTTAAAGCCAGTTGTTGAATATTCTTCCTCGTATCTTAAGGCTAGATAGTCTTCATCTGTTTTATTTTGTGGTTGCTCTGGTAACCATAGACTCCAATCGATCAAACTTCCATCAGAGAGCACCCATTGTCCCTCTTCCACCTCGTCACTACCATCAATATAAAACCCCGCTGCCACTGCCCTGTAATCTGTAAAACAACCAATCTTAAACCTTGACATAAAAACAGGAGATTTGAATCGGTCAGTTAATGGGGATGAAATGAAGTATAATGCCCTACTGTTCTGCACCGAATCATACGAAACTTGGGCTGTCTGTGTACAGTTAGCTCCGCTTGAGAACAGACAATAATAAGCCATATGTAGGGTGACCCATGTACTCACAGAAATACAGTCCACCGCTGATAGTTCGAGACTACCACTGAAGCGTGCACATTCGCCGTGCCGAGACCAACTTTCTGACAGTATGATACTATAAATAGCCATGGCACGTGCAATTCTCTACAAATCTATCAACTATTACAGCCGTAAAAAATTTATTGTTGACGATTTTGAATATCAGTTAAATTAAGCTTCTTGGTTATTACAGCAGATTTAGAAATTACGTTCGTTTCATTTTTTAAATCGCTTTATCATTAACTGTACCGTTAAGAGCGGCATCTTTTGGTTTAGTACAAATAATATCTCTGAATCACTCGGGTTAGGCAGGAACATGATACTAGCAGTAGTTTCATTTTACTTTTACAAGCTTCTTAAAACGATTGTTGAGCTACCTAACGTGCTTATTTCTAAATTCAATTTCTTGTTCTAGCTTTCTGTTACGTTTCGTAAAAAAAGTAGTCTTGATTATCCCGACCTTTCAATCAGACGTAGAATGGTCGATAGACTGGTTAAGCGAGACTAATTTCAAAACACGGGCACGTAACCTATCTTTTACTCAAAAGTGTCTGGATGTTATGGACGACTCTTGGAACCAGTTTTCAGTCTATTATTTATATATGATTAATGGTCATAGCTTATTAAGTACAACATGATCGTTTATTTAGTGACTATAATTGTGTGAAACTGATTTGAGGCTTGGCATATATATAAATATTGTGGCGTAATTGTCGAGATATATGGAGATATTTATTTATGGTGGGTCACCCTACCATATGTAACTGTAGCCACTATCTGTCTCCTGTCCTCAATCTCTCAAGGTTTATTTATTCAGCTCTCATTTAATTAAATTGAACTTGTTTATTTAATCGCCGTGTTTATAACAGATGTGAAATGGAGTAGAACTGCATTATATACTCTTCAAAAAAAGTAGGGGATATTCAGAAACAATACAAAACTGCGGAAATGCAATGCTGTTTTTATTAGAGGTAACCAGTGTATGTTAATAACAGGCCAATTGCCTACACATGAACATAAACAGTTCATATGGGCGACTTATCCGACGGCCACATTTCACTCGCAAAGAGATACACTGTCAAAAGTGAAAACGGACGTTTTTGATTTTTGTCTTAATAATGAGTAATTGCTCCACCAATCCTCAGACATTCAGCAATTCGTCGTGGCATGCTCAGAATCAACCGTCCAATCAGGATTTGGGGCAATCTGACCCACTCCTCTTGCAGTGCCACGTCCAATTCTTGCAGTGTTGTCGGTTGACGTCGACGAACACACTCCCGATCAAATTAAACGTAACACACTAAAGCAAAGATACACTAAACAGTTAATCTTATGCAAGAACCGATAGGAAAGCAAACATGGATAGGATAAACCAGCACGCGGCAGTTTTCATCAACCCTTCCTTGAAGTGTCAAATTTGACAATGAACCCCTCCTCCCACGTGTATGGTGCTATTGCGTGTCGCATGTGCAGCTCAGTGGTTCTGTTGGGGGCGATAGATTCTTCATCTGTTAACACACTCTCACAGCATGTCAAGTGTCCATGACTATTTATCATAACACAACCTGCATAGGCATTTGTATTTCAATATCCCCTACTTCTTTTTGAAGAGTATAAAACAGTATACTAAATGTTGGATATGGCGGCCATTCAAGGCAGAGATCTATTCTTGAAGTAAGAAGTAGATGGATCTCTGTGTGCAGAATGGCACCGAATGAAAACTGGCATACAGGGAGCTTTTAGGCACATTTTGCCCCGACAACGGCGTCACTATTATGGGGTTCTTTTACGTGCATGCCAATCCGAAGGACTATACGGGGCAACGGGGAACTACGTCGGAAAATCCAGATGAACTTTCCCGGCTAACACTGGGACTTCCAGGCTAGCGAGCCAATGTCTTACGCACTGAACCACTGTGGCATGGTAATGATAATGATAACGATAATCGTAATCGTAATGATAATGATAATCGTAATGATAATGGTAATGGTAATGACAATGATAACGACAATGATAATCGTAATGGTAATGATAATGATGATAATGGTAAAGATGGTGATAATGATAATGATGATGGTAATGCTGATGGTAATCATAATGATAATGGTAATGAAAATGGTAATGAAAATGATGATGATAATGGTAAAGATGGTGATAATGATAACGATAATGATAACGATAATGGTAATGGTGATGATAATGATAATGGTAATGATGATGGTAAAGATGATGGTAATGGTGATGATAATGGTAATGGTAATGGTAATGATAATGGTGATGGTAATGATGATGGTAATGGTGATGATAATGATAACGATGACGGTAATGGTGATGATAACGGTAATGATAATAGTAATGATAATGATAGTGATACTGATAATGGTAAAGATGGTGGTAATGATGATGAAGGCGATGACGATGATGATAATGATGATATATTATGTCATACTAACTTGATAATGACGCAGATTATGACGACGACGACGATGTTCATGATAATGATGATGTATTCTGTTATACTAACCTGACGATGAGTTTAATTGTTGAGCCACGTGGTTAATTTGTTGAGTATTGTAACCAGTAAAGAGAACGTCGCCGTCTCCGTCACATTTACTGATGGCGCCAGCACGATCCACCGATATTTTATGTGGTTTGTAACATAAATTATAGCCTCTATGGTTGATATATTCATCATTTATTGGACAAGAACCAGATACTGTAAATATAAAACACACCAAATATTATTACTGTATAGTTATAAATAATATTTATACCACAAGAAACTGATACCACGAATATCATTACTTGATAGTTATAAATACCATTTATAGGACACCACATATATTATTATTTAGTTATAAACATTTAAACCCCATCCATGACTGATACAAATATCAAACATAGAATTTAGCCCACACATGATCTGAATTATGGTTGATTCAAATCGATCTGTGTTCAATTGAATTATGATTGATTCAAATCGACCTGTGTTCAACTGAATAGTAAGTGCGGGTGAACTGCACTACATATAAAGCTGTAAGATAAACCCTCGGATTCAGTGGGTGCTCGATTATAGGTTAAATCTAAATATTAAGGCCACCTGCATGTTTTGTCAAGGTAACACTATATGGCGGATGTCGCTTAAATCTATTTACCAAGACCACCTTCAGATTTCCTCAAGGTCACGACATGTAAATAACCCTAACCAAGCTCTAAGCCTTACCCTAACCCTAACCCTCGGCAACAATCACGGGCCTCTTGTTTACATCTCGTGACCTTGAGGAAATATGCAGGTGGCCTTGGTAAATAGACCTGACTGGCGTATGCCCGTCTTCATTAGCCCAGTCGGGGTAAAACAGTAGGACATTTCACAAATGACCGAATTCTTTGGACCTATTTTTTAATATTGATTAATTAAATATTTAACGATTTGTTCTGTTTTCGTTTTTACTTTTTTCCAAAGGAATAAGGAATTTATTGATCCCCTGCAGCTTATCAATAATATGTTTTTTGTCCAACAATGAGACTGAGATGATCCATAAAACTTGTTCCATAAAATATTTAAAGATTCATTATGTACGAGTTAAATCGACCCATTTCGGATCTTTATTTCGACTTCAAATATTATGTAAATTGTTATTTAGACATTTATTAAGATGACAAGCCTTCAATGAATTCTCTAGATCATCGGATGGCAGAGATTTAAACGGATTGAAATATGACCGCCATTTAATGATTTAATTTAATAATGGTGAATTAAAGCTCAGTTTCGATTAACAAGTACCGTTAAAACTTCAACCATTGATAACTTCGCTCAGAATAAAGTAATTTGAATGAAATTTTCAATATATTTATATTTCATTATCTATCTTGGAACTTCTATCTCAAATAATGCATCTTTAACTAAGGAAATATATTTACGTCTAGGGGGTGAAAACACAAGATTACTTACTTACTGAAAAATCGATATCAAATCAGAAGGAATAATAATTCCTCTGTTATTTTTATAGATTTCTGGGCTATCAAAATTCAGTCGCCACAATCAGAATACAAGACAAACAATCGTTCAATGAATTTGAACCTGTGGGAATCTGGGAATTCCGGAATTGAATTTCTCTCTGGTCCGTGAAAGCTATCAGTTGAGTAAACACGACATGGCATGCGCCAACTGAATAGGAAACCATCTTGACCAATCACTATACCTGAAACGTTTGATAACGTCACGATTCTATTGACGTCACATCTGTTATCAGGAATGACAGAACAGTGGCTGGATTCAATTCCGCTAATCGTACACCACCTTGTATCCAAAAATGTCTTCACCTTCGCGTTTTCCCCGTCAACCGAATAAAAGATCTGATGAAATAACCAAAATGACAGGCGTGAATCTACGAAAGGAGAGTGGAGTCAGCTATCATACGCCCTTTCATAACACGTGTGTTCCGGGGCAATTTACCAAGTGGCAATATAATCAACCCCCCCCCCCCCAAAAAAAAACAACAACAAAAAAATAAACAATAACAAGATTATGGACATGTTAACATTAAACTGCTAAACGACGTTGTGAGCGCATGCACGTTTGGGTGGTTAGTGTGTGGAAGAGGGGGAGGGGCGGGACGGCGACTTTTGAGAATAGAAGATTTAGATGGAGAGCTTGCCGATATTGATATAATATTTCCAAAAATAGATAACGAAAAAGTAATATATTGCAAATTTAAACATCATTTGAAGCTACAAAATAGATCTGCAACGGGCGAATTTTACTCGAACATCATTATACTATAGGCTGATTACTAATGACAACTGATTTCACCTTGAGTACACGTATTGCCGCTTTTAGGACAATGTTGGTGTCAGCCAGTGTGATAGAAGTGGTTAAACACAGTCCAAATATAATATCAGCACACAGATCAATGCTACGGTAGATACCTAAGATTTAACATCAACGACATCGATTATTCAATTATTGAAATATAATACACTGATATTCAAGCTTGCCACAATCACAATACTGTACTTTGATTTAAAATAATTTACTTTTAATATAGTACGACGCTATGGAAGCGTATCAGTGCCAAGATTAAATTCTCTGTTATAATGTCTTTTCGATTGATTATATGTAAAATGTATAATGTATAAAGTCCTAATACCGGTAATGATCAAGTCAAAATACCTCTAAGGCAAAGGTAAAATGTACAACGTCTAATTTAATGTGTCAAATGATAAATGTTTTGTTGGAAAATGCTGTTTTGTGGGGTTTTTTACGCGTCATCATTTTACATTTCTCTCATTACATTTTACATTTGATCTCCGTCGCATCTCATTTGTCCTTCACGCTTTCTACATAGCATCTTACGCACAGCGCTGTCTTTGATATGCAAATGTAGAATATCACGTGACTTATTAATATACCCAAACGACGCCGCGATCAACCCAGCACACTATAAGCTAGCACACTGGTAACGATACCCTTCAATACGACGCTTGACTGGGTGTGATGTGTTCGTTTAACCCAATGGACAAAACCGTCAAATGCCAAAATTGCGTCATTTTGATTAATTAGAAATGTATACCCTGATTTATCGTAACAAAATAAAATATATTCTATCTATTTAATAAGACAAATGATGTAGGTTTATAGGTTACAGCGCTTTAAAGTTCAGATAATCGAAACATATTTTATAACAGAATCCACAGGGGATTTTATGGCGATCTAATTTTTCTTAAAAATACTTGAAATATCTAATTTCAGTAAGATTAAAAGCAAATTAAAGGAAATAATGGTCATTCATGAACGTAGGATTTTTATAACGCGGAAACAGGTTAAATATCGTAGCAATAAGAAATGTTGTTTTATTCCCGTGAAGTCATTTCCATGGTAATTATCTCAAAATTAAATGTGAAAATATATTATGTTAGTGCCGAAATGACCTAGTTGAGTTAAACCCTCAACTAACGGTACAAGAGCAGCAGTGACTTGGTGATTGAGACGTCGGTTCGTTAACCTGCAAGTCCGTGTTCGATCCCGTTGCAGGCCGGAAAGGTTGATCGGGTTTTTCCGGCGTGGTTCCCCCTGGCAGCTGGAATTGGGATATGCTAATTGTAGGCCGCTTTGAAAGGATCGGGAATTTCCGAAGTCCACGATGTCCGCTTTTTATAAATGAGTACTTTGGGGAATACTAACTCTCATCCTTTTTAAAAGACTGAACTTGGGTCCCATTAACTTTTACCCCCTCAAATGTGTTATAAGGGCTAGTGTTAGTGTAAGTTTTACCCAAAATACACATTTAGATACAGCGGCCATTGTGGACTCCGGAAAATCCCGAACCTTCCCAATTCGTCTACAATTAGCATCTCCCGTTGGAATTCGAAATAAGAGTAAGCCATAGCGCCGCTCTCCGGACAAAATTTCTCCCATAGCACACCGTATGGCGCACGGTCGTCTTCATTAGACCAGTATGATCTCTCTCGTTAGAGTTGATTACCAGTTGATTATTCCAAAGTAAATAAAAAGCATTGATTTCTTCATGCATCTTTAAAATTCTTGTGCGTCATGATTTGTATTTATCGGTAAGTATCGAATTTTTCATGGCTTAATCGATACTAAAATAAACACAAATTGATTATTTGACGGGCGAAACTAGGTCTAAAAGCGAAGGTCTATTTTAACTTGCATCGGGACGAAAACCTGAAATCGGTGCTTTGAAAAAATGATATGTAACCTTATGAATCTTCGAAGATTCTACGAGGTAGCTGTAAGATTAAAGCACTCATTATTGGGAGTGCATCCAAAATTTCTAGCGTGGATTTCAGTTACAAGGTCCTCCCTGATAAACAAACGATACATTTTTGGAAAGCTTATAACACCAGGAACACAAATCCCGAGAGTTCCAAGCAAAATGTTTGCAATAACTCGATTAAGGGCCTGATGAAAATCGTCATAATTGTCAAGTAAATGGTATATTTATACTAACAACTGTGAAGTTGACATAAAAATTGGTGAAAATCCCCCGATGCCTTCATCCTCGGCAAAAAGGACCTTGTATCAGAATTTTGTTTCTAAGCAAGCTAGAAATTTTAGCTGCAGGCCTATATGATCATCTATCACCTCGTTGATCTACGTAAGTAGTGACAAACCATGTAATACACTGAATCTGAAATATGTACGAAGTTTGTGATCTTGGTTGGGTTTGTTATTGGTGCTAGTATCATCAAAGTGTTATCAAGTTTGGGGGGGGGGGGGGCGTATGATGTATGGGGAACACGAGGGCATGGTAGTCCGTCGTATAGGTATTTAGCAATGGGGTGAGGGGGTGAAGGACCCAGAGAAAAACACACGAGACGGGGCAGACAACCCACTTGTTGTCAGCTTTGGATCGAAACCAAACCTCCTGTGACATAAAACGCACCAGCTTGACCACTCGACCACCCTACCCCTTAGCAAGGAACAAAAATAATACTTACGGCATTTTATCATGAGTTTATAAAAACGATTTAAAAATAGGAAGGTCTTCGAGAGGCATTGATTTATTGATCAACAGAATTGATAAAAATAATACACTGTCTGGTTTTAGAAAGGATATTTGATAATGTATAAATCTATCTATTAATTTATTAGGTTCCCACGACTTCGCTAAAGGAATCAATCACGACAAAAAACTACCACTAAAACAAAACGATAAAAAAATGGAGTGAAATATTATGTGAATGAAGATTAAGTACAAAAACCAAGACGAATATCTAAGGAAATATTTTTAAAAAGATTTGAAAATGGAAATGTCTACAGTGAAACATTAACGTTTAGATCGATATGATGTATAAAAACTAAAAACAACTGTCTGGTCTCAGGCTTCTGGGCTTTTAATAAAAGTTGGATAATGTACTGGTATTCATTATAAGGTGATGCTAATTGTAGGCCAGCTGGGGAGGTTTGGGAATTTTCGTCCACAATGGACGCTTTATATAAAGAGTATCTCTGGGTATACTAACCCATTTATGAGGGTACATTGGATCCAAGTTCACTCCTCTAAAACGGGTTAGGGTTAGGGCTGGTATTCCCCAAAAAATACTCATATATGGGAACGGATTCGGCAATCATCGGATATTCCCATGATAGCATCACCCTTGATTATCGCAGTGGATATTTGACCGTGTCACGGTTTCATTTTATTTTGGCTATTCAGCCGGAACTTCCGTTTGACATGCACAATTTTGAATTTCTAGCTGTTTCTGCCGGCAATCGTAACACGTAATGTTATTTTGCCGCACGTACGGGTCTTCTGCACCAAGGGGTCGTTTAACCCGAGAACAATAAAGTGATGTTTACAACAGCTATTAGTCCTAGTGTGACACAGGAGTTGAAAATAAAATATACACTAAAATACTGTTCATTGTAGTTTTTATATGTACAGAAATTATTGCAGGTACCTAAAATATGAATAAAAATATAACCCTGAATGAACTTTTGACATAATTGTGAAAGTATCAGCGGTAGGCGTGCATGTTGTGGTGATTTTGAAATATTGACATACCATTTTTGATAACATACTAAGAGAAAGAAATGTGGTTTAACGTCCACTCGGCACAAACCAGGTCATTTCGGGACTAGCATATGGTTCAATTTTATTTCAATAATTCGCTTGCGTGTAGGAGTCTTTAGCAGTGGGAGAAAACCCACGAGGTTGTACAGGCGACCCTACTCTTTGTCACGTACAAGCAGGGGATTATCATTATCATCCACAGTGTTCGACATTCCAAATACGACTTGTTGGTTGATTTGACTTCATTTATAAATTGCTCACAATATGGAATTTAATGATAGATTGAGAATGATTGTTAAAAGAGTCATTGTAGCTTCACAAAGTTATTAAACTTACTAAACATTGAAATTTAAAAAAAAAAAAACTTGCTATACATTGAAGTTATAAAACTTGCTATACATTGACGGTATAAAACTTGGTATACATTGACGTATACATTGACGGTATAACATTTGATATACTTTGTCGATATAAAACTTACTATACATTGACGGTATGAAACTTACTATACATTGACGGTATATATTTTAATACTCATATTCTTTATAACAGACCTATAAAAAAAAGAATAATTGGTTCGTGTTACACTTAAAATGTCAATTATTAATTACACAATTACATTAACAGAAATTTATTTTTGATTGATCTTTACTTTATAGTAGAGATGCATTACGTAAACAGAAAATAATTTATTTTTCATCAACCTATACTTTATATTAGAGATGAATTACGTAAGAGCTAAATTTGCCGTTTGCTGGTCTTTATTTTGGCCTCAAATGTTAAATATATCATTAATTAGACATTTAGACAAGCCTATAATCAACTCTCTAGATCTTCGGATGGTTGTCATTTAGAATGGAGTGGAACACGATGGTCATTTAATCATTTAATTTAGAAATAATCGAGATTTTGTTTATTCTCGTAGCAACAGTAACAATGACAACTGTTTACAAACAGTCAGGGTGAAGCCATTTGATTGACATGTTCAATATTTTCCCCATTTCATTTTCTTTTTTTAAACTGTTGTAGCAAGGACGACCATCTCTTAATCTAAATCTTACATAATGTACCTTTAACGTGGTTAAAATACCTTTAAGTTTAATAATAATAATAAAAAAAAATCTAGAAAACAAAATTGACGGAAGTTCCAATTTAACGAAGTGTTTCTGATGAAAGAAGAATAAAAATGTATTATTTGTTTTTTCAATTTGACGACTTCCTTTAGAATTTGTTCATCCTTCAGCTTGCGTTGTTTAACCAAAATCGATACTGAAATGAAATGAAATGGGGTTTAACGTCCTACTGTTCTGCTCCTATACTGGGCTAATGAAGACGGGCATACGCCATACAGTGTGCTATGAGGGAAATTTTGCCCGGGCAGCGACACTATCGCCTACTCTTATATCGAATTCCAACTGCCAAGGGATCTTTTACGTGCATTCCAAAGTAAACACGGGACCTCGGTTTTTCGTCTCATCCGAAGGACTAGACAGCTGTCCTTGTCAGGCCCTCCGTCCTGCATCACTGACAAGGGGGAACTACGCCAGAAAATCTGGATGAACTTTCTTGGCCAATGCAGGGACCGAACACCAGGCTAGCGAGCAAGCGTCTTAACCAGCCAGCCACCGTGGCTCCCCAAAATCGATACACAATGAATGTTATTTAACCGAATGTTATTTAACCGTTTGTCCTGTACATCTGACATTTGTTGTATAAATCCCATATTGTCCAATTAATATTATCGTGTTGCTATTTTGTTTGTTAGGATTTTTCTTAAAATTCTAAATTAGTAAAATGTATTACCATCAAATTGAGAGTCCCTAAAATAACATGCGGTGTCACGTGGGAGAACTTTCCCTGTAGAGCGAATTCTTTTAATTTTTCCAAATACTCTTAGACAAGCCTTAGATTACGTGTACTCTTCTATACTCTGGGTTCATCCATGGGGTATTCACGTATTAAAATTATCTGCCCTTGACTGTAGCTTGATTCCACGAACCAATGAAAAACAGTTGGTTTTTTTAAAAAAAAAAAAACAGTCTTAGCTTCATTCCTTACATTTACAACAATATGGCTGCTTCCACCGAGGTGATATCGCAGACAAGCTTGTTTGTTGAAACAAGATGTCAGTTATACTTCACCAACTTCCTCTGTATTAAACGCATTTTTTGATTGGTCGATAACAATAGCCTAGTCATCAAGGGCAGATAATTTGAATACGTGTCTCCCCCATAGATAAACCCAGGGATTAGTGGAGTGGAACGGATGCGACCAGTGGGGATACCGAGGGTGGCACATGCTTATGAGTATTCCGCCCTACAGACTAGGGACTGTACCTTATCAGATTCCCTACTCCGCACTGCACCAGTGCATCCAGTCTGGGCAATCACGATGAACATGCGGGATATCCTTACGGCTAGCCCCCGGATCCATTCACTTAATTTGATATGTACGTGTGTTTGTGATTTCTGCGTTTTGTGTCTTGTCCGTAGATTTGTCCGTGTAAATTATGTGTGGTGCAGTCCCCCCCCCCCCGCACTTACTATTAGTATGCCAGCTACTTACTCGTAGAGCCACAGTATCCCTTTCATATTATGAACGACACACATTTACTTTTATGGGAGTGGGAATACCACTGCTTTCATTTCGGCTTTTAAAAGCGAATCGGGGGAACTCCAACCGCATTTATAACTTTGTCGCAAAGGTTGTACAGAAGTAAATAGTGTGCGGGTCGACGCTTGGTGTTGGGGCTGGTATCAAATCAACCCAACAAAGTTAGAGAGTAAACACCTCGGCAGATTATTTAAACTAGGAGGCTTCTGCATACTAAAAATTAGTAAATGGGTCCAGGCTCCAACTACGAGCGTCTACTGGGTTGTCCAGCCCCAGTCCACGGTATTAGTGGTCGCATGCTTCCGTGCTTCGTTGCGCTGATTAAGAAGCAATCAAAATTACAATTATGTGGCTATAGTGGCTACTTAAAATATTATTTTATTGAAGGAAAAACGAAATTCCACAAGCATACAAAAGGCGTGTATACATGCCGCCACTGCATAATTTGCAAAAGCAAAATACCGTCAAATACCAATGAATAAGTAGTAAATAATAAAAAAAAACCCTAACCCTCAAATAATATAGAATAACCTACCGTCAAATACTATAGAATAACTCACTGTTAAATACTACAGAATATGTAGTAAATAATAAAATAACTTACCGTCAAATACTACAGAATAGGTAGTAAATGGTTTAGCCACGCCATCAACTGGACTGATGAAAACTACAGGGTGATTTTGACAGGATCTTTCAACATTGTTATAGAAATACGACAAACAATCAGAATTCTCCGTACACTTCAGGGCGCATTCTGTCTTAGATTTAACTGAATCGAATGTCTCTAATATTTCCCTGTCCATGATAATATCGTTAAAATCATTTTTCATAAACGATATTGTAGAAATGAAGCTAGTATTTACAACACAAAACACAAAAGTTAATATTATTATTATATATATCATTGTGTACGTCACAGTAGGTAAATTAAACAGATAATCTACAATTTCTTATAACAGGTAATCTGCAAGTTAGGCTTGGGTAATCCATATTTCTCATAACCGTCTCTGAATTATATTTTACGACACATCTAGGTAATAATGTACGTTCTAACTGGAAGTCAACTCGAGGACATCGATATAAAGAGAGAATTCCTCCGCCAGTCTCTTCGCTTGTACATGTTTTACAGCGGAAGTTAACACGATATGAAGTAGAAAGCGTGAGTTGGTGTTTTTGTCAGCGCCGAATCACTGCGAGAAGACTTAGACTGTTGTACACTTTTCTCGGACGGTAGAAATATAAAGATGTTCACAGCAAATTGTTTTAAAAACCTGTAGTGGAACTTGAGTTAACAGAAATCGCACGTTTTTCTGGATAACCCGTTTATTAGTAGTGATAATACAATTTATTTCAGTAGTGGAATACCGCGTTTTATCTGTTTTATCTCTCTGTTGAATATATAGGCAATTAAATCTAAATTTTAAGACTCGAACCCTATTATTACAAGTAAGTGAAAAAAAATTGCTGTTTTGAAGATGGTTTAGAAATTTAGGAAATTTATCGGAAAAGACATTTTTAAAACCTGTCATGGGCCGTCCAGAAAGAAGACAAAGGGAAAAGAAACGGGCAGAGTGGATATAAGTGTACTATTTTTTAAGTTTTAAACATATTAAACACTTTATTGAATTTTTTTTTTCGATTAAAAAATTGCTCTCTGAACTATTTTGTTATTGGTAAAAACTACTCAGAATCTCTGAGAATGCATATTTAGACACCATTTTGTAACAAAAATTCCCCCCAAAAATAAAAGCCCCCCCCCCCACCTCTAGCAGCTCATGCCAGCGGCGTTCGGTTATATAGTAGGTACTTTTGTTTCACAAACGAACCCGTCCACCTTGCTTCCAGCCTACGGGCCCGACTCTATATGAACACTTATAAATTTCTAAAGAAAATATTCTTTAAATTGTTATTAGGATCTACACTGCGTTGTAAAGATTTGTAGGCCTGAACATTTGTGTATCCAATTGAATACACATTTTGCTCAAAGACTTTACGTAGTCTTCGAACACTACCGGGAATGGAAGCGGAGCTGGAATATCAGTACTGTAAATATTTCTAGTTGTTGTAGTGTACATGAGAGAATAAATCGTGAACGGTGGCTTGAAGATTTGTCTTTAGATTAGATTTCGTATCATTTGCTGCCTCAGGGATTAGAAATGTTTGCCAGAAAATGATATTGAAAATACCCACAGAGTGCGTTTTAGTGCGTCTAGTTTTCAAAAAATTTCGGGGGAGGACCCCCGAACACCCTTCTTTACCAATGGTCGCCCGCGCATGGACTGTCCCCACCAATAATTTTTGGCGATCTGCCCCCTTGACTGCAAGAAGCTGTCCGTTAAATAAAATCCTCATCTCTCGTGTTTTAGTTGAAGGAATGTTGGAAAAACAGCATAACATCGTCCTGGAGACAAGGGGTGTTTGCTAGCTACGAGAACGTAACTAAAAACGTTGAGATATACTAATGTGCTTGTTTTTAGCTACGATTGGGTGCCTTTAGTTTCACCTGGCAAACTTAATTTCTTTATTAATGCATGTACCAACTTAAAAATAAGTTAATTTCATACTATTAGTACTTATTAAACATACGCAGCCCAATCTACTGATACAGCAGTCATATATCAGTAAATATTCACAATAAAGTAAATCAAGCGTTGTTTTTATCAAAATTGATACGGACATCCATTATTACGGCGTATTACTCCTGCGCAACTCTGATCAGGTTAGTACTTTGATTGGCTATTGCACACGAGGCCCCGCCTTTATGTGTTAAGACGTAAATTTAAAATGTCGGAGAAAGCAATCTTGTATCGCTTCGATTTAAAGCGGGATTTGTACCCGTGTCAGGTAGGATTTTCTGCTTAATTGTAGTTGGATGTGGTAGAAATGTTATAAATAACAATAATCAATCGTTGTTTTGATGAAAAATAATGCCAATTTTGCTTACTGATTCCCGATGCGATTCGCGTTGGGCTTTGCTACATGGAACTATAAAGGACCATCTCTTATCTCGAAACACGGAGGGTTGAGAGATGAGGTTTGTTATCTAGGTGTTTGCATGCATAAACGACACCACAATGACCACTGGGGGCACCATTTTATCGAGGTTGCACCGTCTTAAACCTTTTTATATTCAACATACATTTTACGGTAAAATTCCTCTCCTAAATTTGGAATATTGGCTGAGCGCAGCTAAGAACCTGTCTGCGCAGGCGTGAGTTTGACAATGGCAGACCAATGCAAACGAATATTGTTTGTGTTTTTGTATCGCACAATTCTACATGAAAATTGTGTTGGATAATATAAATTGGTGTCGGATTTGGCAAGACAGGATTCCTTTTGGCGATCAAAGAATTTAGAATCACGGTGAAAAATAGATGGCAAGGATTCCAAAATAGCCTTAGAATCAAGATGGGGGAAAAGCCATATTTGCATATTAGTTGTGTATAGCATGCGTCAATAACGACGAGAGAGCAGAGTCGATAAGAATTCCTTACTAAAGTAACTAGAGTAAAACATGTGCGACTCCACGAAACTGGAGCTGACTGGTTGCCGTCCGACTTACACCAGTCGTAAGAACGTTTAGGTCGCCCAGATAGTCAGGGCTGATCAATTCATATTGATCGTAAAGCAATCGCCGAATTCGAGTCATCGTCGGTTTTGTCGCGTCGTTGAGCGACGTCGACCGACGACGCATTAAAAACTAACGGCGACTAACAACAACTGATGGCTTACGTCGCTACGACTGAATTTATCCACGACTGGACGCAATCAGTTGATCATACTATATTATTCCATGTAAAGTATATTTTTATATACATGATTGTATATTGATGTATGTGTATGTTTTGTATACTGTTCTTATGCAAAAAAAAAAGTTGAAAGTTGAAGTAGTCATAATTTAAGCGCGCCCATGTCGCCTGGCGTGAGTTGCAGAATCTGGGGCACAACTGATCACATGACTGCCACGACAACCTTCAAAATGGCCTCATTTCACTTCACACTGATCAGAAGTGAATATTCGCTAGTCCTCTACAGTCACTGATAGGGATGACATCGGTGCGACTTAATGAGCCCCTGTGAAACAGAATGATTCCGCGTGTCTGCCATGTTTGTTACCGCCCCCTGGGTCGGCCTACCACGTGACTAAATAACCGAATCGTATTGGCTACCTCAGCGAGGCGCCGACTCAAGGTAGTCGTAGGTGCGCCCAGTGTTGCTTGCGACTAGAAACTGGAGGCGACTGGTTACCAGAATTCGAGTCGCTAGGCTTAATTGCATATTCCACTTAAAATGAAGCTTATGATGTCAACTAACCGACAATATCAAGTCGAATACTGTAAATGAGGAATTTGTCACCCGAATTGACATTTTGTGCTACTTTTAGAATTTCCGTAAATATTATTTAAGTTGGACAAAATAATGCAATAAAAAAAAAATACTGCCGGGCTTTAGAAGGTGCATCATCGACAAAATGGTGTCCCAAGTGGTCCTCTATCAGAATGAGTTGAAAAACTGGGGGGGGGGGGGCTTTGATGCATGCAGACAATCCTTGGCTCCTATGGGGCCTGTTTCACCAAATTTTAACTAAGATAAAACCTAAATTTTAGTAATTTGATTGGATAATATTAAATTGATTTTAGTGCTTAGCCAATCAAAATTGAATTATCTACTAAAATTTTGATTTTATCTTTATTTAAAATTTCGTGAAACAGGCCCCTGGTCTACCTGGATTCATACTGGATTGTGGTTTACGAAATACTTTAATGATATAACAACAGGACTTTCCTGTAACAGAGAAAACCGCTTTCAAAAATAACATTAAAGGAGCTAAATCGCTAACATTTGGGACCTAGAAATTCACAAAAGTGGGTCGCAACGCATATAATACTGTAATAAGAATGTATATAAACTGATTTACATTTAATGGTTTCCGTTTTTACTCCAATTTCAAATCAGTTATGTTCGGCGAAATAAGTCGGCAATCTCAATCGAGTGCAAATTTCTAGCGTCTAGTTATTCTAGTCTACATAACTCCATTTGATTTGGTGCAATGTGTCTAGCCTCGTCCCCCGAGTCTCTCAATACAACTGGGGCTGAAGCGCATTATGGTACACGATTCGTATACCAATGTTAAAAAATTATTTTATCTTAAATATCGGATATCAGAAGCTCATCTTTTCCCGGTAAGTTTACATCATCAATGTTGATTTAAATTGACCAATAATTCGTGTTTTCGATGTCGAAGATTTTGGAGGATCTTGAGTTACGGACTTAGGTCCTTTAAGTTGAGACTAAATGTTAATGCCCTATTTATATAAAATGTCAATAACACACGGAGTCGTTTCGCACTTAGTTGATTCGTACCTCACATGAGCCGTTTCGTACCTTGGTTAATTTCCAGCGAACAAGAGAACCTTACATGCACTTACGCATAACCCTCCCTTTGCACCCGGGCTTGGGATCGACAGAATGGGTTCAATAATCAACACCAGATTAAATATTTTTTAACCGCTTTAACAATCGCCAATCAATTATCGTCAACTCACTGAGCAGAATGGGTCCAATAATCAACACCAGATTAAAAACAACAAAAGGCAGGTAGCAGTGTTTGTTGTTTTTTTGTTTTGGAGTCGTTTATTATTTCAATTCATTTCAACAACATATAGGTAAAAGTAAGAAGCAATTTGAGGTACAAATCATATGCGTGTTCTAATTCTGGTTTGGCAGCCATTTTTATAAATTTTGAGTAACACTAACAGTTGGATTTTATCAAATCGTTTACTTATGTTTCATCTTTATTTCAATTTCAACATATAGGAAAAGGTAGGCCTACGAATCAATTTGAGGGGCGAATGAACTAAGTACGAAACATCCAATTTACGAAACGGCCTGCACCCGAACCGAGATAGTTAAAATATGGATACACACTGATCAAAAGTGAATATTCGCTATAGGCCTCTACAATATTCTCTGCGAAACAGATTGATATGGATAATACGTCCCTGTAACTAGGGTAATTAGCCTTAAGGATAATACAGCCCTGTAACTAGGATAGGACTTCGCTTTATTATGGATCACACCTACTATTAAAGTATTTATGTTATACCATGTGAATAATATGATTCTATATTTTATATATAAAGACAATAACACACTGATAATGTGATGATTTACATCAATTTAATATACAAAAGATGGCATGGTGAAGATGAACTACGACATTAACTATTGTTCATACGATGGATAAAAACATACATACATGTACTTTAGGATAAAATGGAGGAATACAAATACTGATTAAAATAATTACATTACAGGAGTAGGTCTATATTATTAAATAATTATTGAGATAGCTTTAAGAATAAAAATACTGACGAAAATAATGATACCTAGGACTTTATAACAGTTATGAGGATGGGGTTATATTATAATAATGATAGGCCTACCTAGGCCTTTATACTGACCACAGTTATCAGGATGGGGTTTTATTATAATAATGATAGGCCTACCTAGGCCTTTATACTGACCACAGTTATCAGGATGGGGTTTTATTATAATATTGATACCATTATATTGTATGGGATGTAGTTTATGTTCTGTGAAGGCTGCTTATACAGACCACAGTTGTCAGGATTGTGTTTATATTATAGCAATGATACTGGCACCATTATATTGTATGGAATGTTGAGTTAACATAAGGTAGTTTTCATACCTATATGCAATGCCAGGAGAGAGAGAGAGGGGGGGGAGAGAGGTTAACGTCCACTGGACACAAACTAGGTAATTTTGGGGCTAACATATGGTTCAATTGTATTTCAATATCCTGCCTGCCCGTAGGGGTCTTTACCAATGGGAGAAAACCAGAGGACCCAGACGAAAAATCGCAACACTTGACTTGACAGCTATTTGAAACAATTAATAGTTCTTGCGTCCGAGTGCTATAAAGTATTAAGTGAAACCTATACTATTTATTTCTATTTTCAAACATTATAAATCTATAACCCTAGTACCGAATACTTCCCGTGTAAATCAAGGGTAGACTCTAGTACCGAATACTTCCCGTGTAAATCAAGGGTAGACTCTAGTACCGAATACTTCCCGTGTAAATCAAGGGTAGACTCTAGTACCAAATACTTCCCGTGTAAATCAAGGGTAGACTCTAGTACCGAATACTTCCCGTGTAAATCAAGGGTAGACTCTAGTACCGAATACTTCCCGTGTAAATCAAGGGTAGACTCTAGTACCGAATACTTCCCGTGTAAATCAAGGGTAGACTCTAGTACCGAATACTTCCCGTGTAAATCAAGGGTAGACTCTAGTACCGAATACTTCCCGTGTAAATCAAGGGTAGACTCTAGTACCGAATACTTCCCGTGTAAATCAAGGGTAAACTCTAGTACAGAATAGTTCCCGTGTAAATCAAGAACAGACTCCAGTACAGAATGAGAATAGTTCCTTTGTAAATCATGGGTATTGTCATACATAAAACGCTATTATTATAGTGACCAAGAAAGAAATTAGTTTTGTAGGAATTTAGTAATTGAACATATTAACATTTGATTTACCATATTGTTCTTAAACCTTACACTATTATCAGACAAATTATTTTACTTCACCCAGTCTTTTTTTCTATGGGGATCCGCGGTGGCTCAGTGAGTAGATGTTGGCTCGCTAACCTTGAGGCCCCTGTGTTCATTCCCAGCGTCGGCTGAGAAAGTTCATCAGGTTGTTCTGGCATATCCGCCCCCCCCCCTCCTTGTCATTGGTTTAGGACAGAAGACCTGGCACAAGACAATCTAATAGGACAAAAGAACGCGGTCCTGTATACGCATTGACAATAGGAATTTTGATATCAGAGTAGGCTGTGTGGTGCCACTTTCCGGGCCAAATGTCTCTCGTTGCAAAACAGTAGAACAATAAACCCAATTTCATTTCATTTATAATATTTCTATTCTGTTTTAATAATATGTATACTACTCTCAATGGGCGTATTGATACAATAAAATCTTATTAAAATAAAGAGAGAGAAATGGAGTTTAACGTCCACTCCAAACAAACTAGGTCATTTTGGGACTAACATATGGTTTAATTTTATTTCAATAATTCGCTTGCGCGTAGGGGTCTTTAGCAGTGGGAGGAAACCGGAGGACCCAGAGAAAACCCACAAGGTTGGACAGGCGACCCTACTCCTTGTCACGTACAACGGGGATTCGAAACCACACCAGTCGACTCAATGACAGACTTTGTGTTACAGCGCGCGCACGCTAACCATTCAGCCATCCAACCCCCCTCTTATTAAGATACAATCAAGTCTATAATTGTGTAGCCATTAAATTTTACCTTGTGTTGAAATATTAAAGTCACAATTTCATATTTTTAAGTTATATTTTTAAAATGTATTAAAATAAAGCCCTTAAATAGATGGTATCTATAAACAGTCCTACCTTGTTAAAGAATAATCCTATTAATCCTATAATTCACTATTGCCAGTTGAGAAATTGTCGATAACATCATTTTCAACTTCAAATTCAACCAGTTGAAGATAGCTATTCCATGGGAGGAATAGAAAAACAAGGGAGATAATTGTGTAATTATTTTCGGTGTGAAGATTTTTATGTGTGAGAAAGATAACCTATGATCGTATAATAGTGAGTTGACAACCTATTGAGCAAAAGACATAGAAATAATTATGTTTTGACTTTCTTAGAAAATATGAAATTGTAACTTTAATATACCTGATTGACTCTATGTGACTTATTGATCAGAATGCAGAAAGTTAACAATAATATTTCAGAAACAATGATCAGATGCATAACAATAATTTCATTAGGTTTTCAGAAACAATGACCAGATCCTATCCATAACAGTAAGGGAGAGAGAAATGGGGTTTAACGTCCACTCAACACAAACTAGGTCATTTCGGAACTAATATGTGGTTTAATCTTATTTTAATAATTCACTTGCGCGAAAGGGTCTTTGGCAGTGGGAGGAAACCGGAGGACCCGGAGAAAACCCATATTGTTGGCAATAGGTTTTCAAGTTGGATGTATGTTTTTTGTCGATAAGAACGAAGATTTAATTTTGTTGATTGATCATCTATAGAGATTTTTTTTTAAGAAGTTAAACAATATTAATGAGAATATATAATAAATAAAATATAATTCTATTCTAAACCATGGAGATGTGATTCAAATAACATCATCATAGTCGTAATAAATTAGAGAATTATTAACAGAATAGAAAAAATATATATGTGTAAAATATACAAAAATATAAATATTAAATATTGGTAAGAATTAGAGGTGTAGTTCGGGAGAGGGGTCAGGGGCTAAGATGAGAGCAAGGAGGGTTTTGTGAGTCAGATGGGGGAGAGAGGGGTGGGGGCTAAGATGAGAGCTAGGAGGGTTTTTGTGGGTCAGATAGAGGTGAGAGGGGTGGGGGCTAAGATGATAGCAAGGAGGGGTTTTGTGGGTCAGATAGGGGTGAGAGCTAAGATGACAGCAAGGACGGGTTTTGTGGGTCAGACTGGGGGAAATGGATGGTAGGAAATGGTGGGAATCAGGAGTACCACTCTTCTTTCTTTTTCTTAGGGATAGTAAAACTTTAAAAACCTGCAAAAGAAAAGAATTTATGTATGATCCTTCATTTTCACAACAAAACACTACCATGGTAACTTTACTAACTCAGTAATGTCACTATAGTTACTTTACTAACTCAGTAATATCACTATCCTTACTTTTCACATTGATATCACTATAATAGTTACTTTACTAACTCAGTAATATTGCATTGTCACTTGACCATCATATTTAAAGCGAAAATTGCATCTTTTAAAGTCATATGTTTAAAATAAATGAAAATAAAGCCTGGAAGTACATAGCTTCTATACACAGTCCTACATTGTTAAAAAATAATCCTATTAATCCTATAATTCACTAATGTCAGTTGAGAGATTGACAAAAATATCATTTTCTTGTTGAAAGTAAAATGTTTGATTTTGAAAGTGTCATTTTAACCATCAAAACAAGGGAGGTAATTTTGCATCAGTGAACCCGGCATCATAATCCTATCTGTTTAACCACAGACCTGGACAATCGACCACTTCCATCATGTAGACTGAGTTATCCAGTGAAAAATGAGTATTGTGGATGAGTAGGAAATATTTCAAATTTGTATGTGAGTATAGAATGAATCCTATGATAGCATAAAAGTGTTTGACAACTTATTAGGCAGTTACGTTTTGACTTTCTTAGAAAATACGAAAATATCCCTTAAAGAAAACCTTTAAATAAGGGCCCACAGTTAATAATTATACATAGAAAGTTGTGAGTCTGAATTAGAAATAGGGTTCAGTAAGGTTCCTCCTTTTGAGTTTAATGATGAAAGGGGAAGTAACTCTGCAAGCAATCATTGTATAACTGTGAATCTTGGGTCACTCATGGCCCTTAATTTATACGAGTATGTTTTCAAACCATGAATGAAATGAAATCAGGTTTACCGACTGGGTAAGGACTAAAGGCATATGTCACAAAATGGTTGTACAAAAACAACCGCGATACTTGATTGAACATTTTGGGATTGAAGTGAAAAGGGGGGGTTTCGGGCTACAACGCATGTTGTGTTTAAATACATAATGCCTGAATGATACACAATGAAAGTGTGCCTCGTTGACATATTGTGTTGATGAGACGTTCGATATAGATCAACTCACCAGAACAACGATTCTTGTGTGGTACTATGATTAGGCATTGTTTTAGGTCTGGATCCGATATTAACGGTGATATTGGTAAACAATGGTTCCTCTGTGAAGTGTAATACAGTATAATTCATTCCAACTCCATCATTTAAACCATCTTCAGGCCATCGACCTCGCCAACCAAAAAACAACTCATTACTAAAATACAATTAAAGATACATTATGTGAGATAAGATAAAGAGATGGCAGTTCTCGCTATAATAGTTAAAAACTAGATAGTGTAAAGGTAATTTGCTGACAATTTCAGTCAAATTGATCCACTATGAGCCAAGAAAGAAGCAGGTGAAATTTTTGCATAGTCTCGGTCATCATTACTAAAATCATTAATATAAACAGCATAGTCTCGATTATCCACTTTTTCTGATTTAATTATCTTTGGCCGTTAGAGGCATATAGGAATCTAATCCAGCCTACATCGAAGGCTAGCCTTGACATGGAGAGTTTATTATGGTCTGGATAAGTTAATTAATGTCTAATTGATAATTTAGATAACATTTCAGGCCTAAAGAAAGACTTGTAATAAGCATATTTAGCTCTAGCATAATGTATGTTTAATGGACGATGTTTAAACAACAATTAAACTAATCAAAATATGTAAAATGGATGATGATAACTGATCCATGCTCGGCTAAAGATAACTGTCCCATATTCAGCTCAAGATAATTTACCCGGGTTCAGCCTGATATAACTTGCCCATGTTCATTCCTAGCTAATGTATCCAGGTTCAGTCTGAGATAATTTACCCATGATCAGACTGAGACAATTTACCCATATTCAGCTACAGATAATTTACCAAAGTTCCCATGAGATGATTTACCCAATTTCCACCCGCAATAACTTTCCAATGTTCAGATTGAGATAACTTGCCCAGATTCAGCCCGAGACAATTTACCCATGATCCACCCAAGATAATTTACCCATATTCAGTCCAAGATAATTTACCCATGTTCCACCCAAGATAATTTACCCATATTCAGCCCAAGATAATTTACCAGGGGCCATACAGCCAAAGATAATTTACCCATATTTAGCCCAAGATAATTTACCCATATACAGCCCAAGATAACTTACCCATATTCAGCTTAAGATAACTTACCCATGTTTAGCCCAATATAACTTACCCATATTCAGCCCAAGATAATTTACCCATGTTTCGCCCAATAAAACTTACCCATGTTCAGCTCGAGATAATTTAGCATGCCGCACCATTTTAAATCTTCCAATAGGTTCTGGTGGTCTCGTAATTAATAAACCAGATTCTTGAATTCTGACAAAACATCAAATTGTCAATTTTAATGAAATACAAATATTCATTTGTTGCTTTACAGGAGATTCATAGATTTTGTGGAACACAACAGTCAGCCATTATGTGGGGTCCAGTCATGGAGTCTGCTTGTGTGTGGTATGTGTCACCCCTATACTACTTAAACTTTGTGTGGGACTTGGTTACCAGGTCCCATTTTGTTATTAGAATAGCCTAGGAAGCTGGTAACCATAGTGACCTGTAATCTGATGGTTAAGAGTTTATTACAATATACAATGTATATATCTAACTTGACATACCTGGCAGACAAATCATCATCCTCATTTCCCCATCCCCAATAAAAATTAGAATAACCATTGATACGCTGATAATTTTCACGATTAATAGCAATAACACCTCCAGCATAATTATAATACATAACACTGTAATATATAACACATATAATAATTATATATAATTAAAACACATAACACAGTAATATATAACACATATAACAATTATACAATGTATATAATTATAATATATAACACATATAACAATTATATATAATTATAATATATAACACTGTAATATAGAACCAATATAACAATTATATATAATTATAATATATAACACTGTAATATATAACAATTATATATAATCATAACATATAACACTGTAATGTATAACACATATAATAATTTGTTCGATCCCTGCATTGGCCGAGAAAGTTCATCTCGATTTTCCGGCGTGGTTTCCCATTGTCAGTGATGCAGAATGGAGGGCCTGACAAGGACAGCTGCCTAGTCATTCGGATGGGACGAAAAACCGAGGTCCCGTGTACACATTGGCGTGCATGTAAAAGATCCCTTGGAGGTTGGAATTCGATATAAGAGTAGGCCATAGAGCCGCTGCCCGGGCAAAATTTCCCTCATAGCACACTGTGTGGCATATGCCCGTCTTCAATTAGCCCAGGTTAGGTGCAGAAGAGTAGGACGTTAAACCCCTTTTCATTTCATTTCATATAATAATTATATATAATTATAACACATAACACTGTAATATACATGAATAACACATATAACAATTATATATAATTATAACATAACAAATAAATAGCAAACACAAACTACTTCTTACAAGACATTACGAGAGAGAGAGAGAGAGAGAGAGAGAGAGAGACAGACAGAGAGACAGAGAGAGACAGACAGAGAGAGTGAGAGACAGAGAGAGAGACAGACAGAGAGAGACAGACAGAGAGTGAGAGAGAGACAGAGATACAGACAGAGAGTGAGAGAGAGACAGAGATACAGACAGAGAGAGAGACAGACAGATAGAGAGAGAGACAGACAGAGAGAGAGACAGACAGAGACAGACAGATAGAGAGACAGACAGAGAGACAGACATAGAGACAGACAGAGAGAGAGAGAGACAGACAGACAGAGAGACAGACAGAGACAGAGAGAGAGAGACAGACAGAGAGACAGAGAGAGACAGACAGAGAGACAGAGAGAGACAGACAGAGACAGAGAGACAGATAGAGAGACAGACAGAGAGACAGACATAGAGACAGACAGAGAGAGAGAGACAGAGAGACAGACAGAGAGACAGAGAGAGAGAGACAGAGAGACAGACAGAGAGACAGAGAGAGACAGACAGAGAGACAGACAGAGAGAGAGACAGACAGAGAGAGAGACAGAGAGAGAGAGACAGACAGAGAGAGAGACAGACAGAGAGAGAGACAGACAGAGAGACAGACAGAGAGAGATAGAGACAGACAGAGAGAGAGACAGACAGGGAGAGATAGAGACAGACAGAGAGAGACAGGGAGAGAGAGAGAGAGAGAGACAGACAGAGAGAGAGACAGACATAGAGAGAGAGACAGACAGAGAGAGAGAGACAGAAAGACAGACAGAGAGACAGAGAGAGAGAGAGCAATGGGGTTTAACTTTCACTGGAAACAAACTAGGTCATTCGGGACTAACATATGGTTCAATTATATTTCAATAATTCGTATACGTGTTGGGGTCTTTACCAGTGTGAGGAAACCCACGACCCTACTCCCTGTCAAGTACAACCGGGGAATCGAAACCGCGCCACTTGACTCAATGACAGAGAGTATGCACATACTAACCATTCGGCCATCAAACCCCTCCCCATCTCAAGATCAAGTATTCTTTCTAAATTATTGTAGCCCATATGTTATAAGCTTAATTAAACATTATAATGAAGCCATAACAATGATATGTAACAATAGAAAATATCACTGGTAAGCTGATACCGTTGACTAATGAAGATAGGCCTTTTAGTAATGACAATCATATAAGTGGTCAGTATTCTAAACTAATGTTTAGTATGTATAGAAAGTGGTTAGATCATTAATCAGCAGGTGTGTGGAACTAGCTGTAAAAGATGTCACTACTGGATGGTGTAAATGCATGACTATTTATAACACCCATTACTATTGAATACACAAACCTGGACAATATTGGTGTATATCATTCAATAGTCACAGTTTTAACACCTTAGTGACAAAACACCTACTTAATGACTACTGCCTGATTACTAACAATTTTAACTAACTAATACACATTATGTATATAAACTGACAACTTTGATCTATTAGTTTGGTATATTTTCATTTATAGCAATGTTGCTTAGTCAGCGTTACAGTGATAACAATGAAACGTAACAACAAAACATAACAAAATAACATAACTATGACACGTAACAATAATATATGTAACTATGGCGACTAACAATTAAACAGCTTTATAGAAACTTACTGATATCTCATTTCACAAATGATAAAAAAAAATAACAACTCAACGTAACAATCAAATTTAACCAGGGAAATGAAATGAAATGGGATTTAACGTCCTACTGTTCTGCTCCGAACTGGGCTAATGAAGACAGACATACACCATAGTGTGCTATGAGGGAAATTTTGCCCGGACAGCGGTACTACGGCCTACTCTTATATCAAATTCCAACTGCCAAGGGATCTTTTACGTGCATGCCAATTGGTACACTGGACAGCTGTCATTGTCAGGCCCTATGTAACCATGGAGTGTAACCATGGAGTGTAATAATCAGATGTAACTATGTAACCATGGAGTGTAATAATCAGATGTAACTATGTAACCATGGAGTGTAATAATCAGATGTAACTATGTGATTAATAATAATGAAATATTAATAACTTACTGATATCTCATTTCATCAATGGCGGACGACAGATGGCGGGCATGTTGATCACACATATATAAATTCTGATCATTCTCCGGTAGTAAGTCGGCGTCGTGGAAGACAAAACAATCAAAATCACCAAACTTTAGAGCTTCCAGATAGCCAATATTCATCAGTTTGCCACGGTTAAACTTGTCTAAACCAGACTGAAATACAAACATGTTATCATATTAAAGAGAGAGAAATGGAATTAAGTTTATTTCGTGACTAACCGATGGTCTTAACCTAGGGGGAGAAACCCGGAGGAAATTTACGAGGTTGGACAGGCGACCATTTACCCTGTCACATACAAGTGGGAGAGTGGAACCACGCTACTTGAGTCAATGCCATACCTTGGGACACTGTCAAGAATTCTTGAAGGGTCAAAGAGAGATAACTCTAATTAAATATGGAGTCAGATAAGTAATTATCTCCCCATTGACTTCAAATGTTAAATCCATAACATTTCTTGGCCTATGACATTTTTGGGATGTTTCGATCACTTTATCTTTACAACCACAAAGAGTCCAACATGTCCCAATCATCTGATGAAAATATTGAACTGTTGACTGTTATGATCTTTTGCTCGATCTGGTCAAATGAGGCTATAGACTGTGATGTCATCTTAGTAGGGGATTTCCCTATTTCCCGATCCTTCTGGCTCACATTCATCAATATTTACCTGAGAGAAATTCTTCTATTCTTGATCAAAATGGCAACAAAAAGATGGGCAAAGGAAAAAAGGAGAGAATTGCTATGAACAGACAGACTACATTAATGTATCGTGAAATCAGGATAAGGAATTACAAGTCTTAAACCAATCTTACCTGTTCAATTACAAATATTGTCTACTTTATCATCTGTTTCACTTACCTGTTCAATTACAAATATTCTATACTCTATCAGCTGTTTCACCAACATGGCGTGTAATCGGTGTAATAAAATCTTTAAATGATGAAGACGATCACGATATGGAACTATAATCGCCACTTTCTGCCAAGCAGAGCAACCAACGGGTTTGGACACACCACCTTTTTTCACATGCTGATTCTTTTCCAATATAAAGTCAAATTCTGGGGCTGTAAAAATATCCAATTTTGCCAATTCTGAAAAAATAAAATAGTAATATCATGTGTTACTGTATATTAAAATGACTGATGTCTGTGAAGGTCACAGGCAATTCATGTCTAGTCGTTCGGATGGAACATAAAACAGAGGTCCTTTCTCCACACATTGGTGTACACATAAAAGAATCTCTAAGAGTTGTATTTTGAAGCAGTGTAGACAGAAAACAGAAAAATCTTCTCGTGTAAACATACAATATTACTTAGTAGTATGCAGTCATTATTTTTTAAGACAATCGATCGAGCTTGAGCACATGAATCTGGGTTGTTTTATATCATTGACAAATGATCACAAGTCTGTGAGTAATTGTGTTACTCCTTATAAACCTAACTACATAGGCTCCAATTCTTGTATTCCTTATAATCCTAGCTACGTGGACCCTAAATCTGATACCCTAAATATCTTCTGTCTATAAATGATAGGAATCACTACTTAGCTCTCCAGCCAAATATGGAAACCAATAACTGTGCTTGTTAGTCTCAAAATGGTGGATGAGATGTTCAAATCTGTAGGAAACTTGAGGACCCACGAGGTTAGACAGGCGACCCTAATCCATATGTACGTACAAGCTTGGGTTTGAAACCATGTCACTTGCTGATGCCACATTTGACACGGTCATCCCCTTCTCAGCCCTAATAGGGGGGTTGGATGGCCGAATGGTTAGCACGTGTGCGCTGTATCATTAGGCCTGTCATTGAGTCAACTGACGTGGTTTCGAATCCCCGGTTGTATGTGACAAGGAGTTGGGTCGCCTGTCGAACCTCATGGGTTTTCTGCAGGTCCTCCGGTTTTCTCCCACAGCTAAAAAGACCCCTATGGGCAAGCCAATTATTGAAATAAAATTAAACCATATGTTAGTCCCGAAATTACCTAGTTTGTGTCGAGTGGACGTTAAACCCCATTTCTCTCTCTCTCAGCCCTAATGGCCTAAATTAACTAGCTTCGATCGGTCACATATATATATATATACATATATAACTCACCTAATTTATCAAGATCTACTCGACATCTTCCTCTATCTGACTTGTCTAAATGTGGTAACCGTAGTAACGTGGAAGGGGAGGTAAACACACAATGGCTACGATAATTAAACAATGAAAATCCAACAACCGAGAAATAAACAAAGATCAAACTATTGATAATAACATTTTTAATAAGTTTTGTCTTTGATGCCATGATTGCCTCATCAATCAAACACCCTTTGTCTGCAATATCACTCTAGGGTCACTGGTACAAATTCACAAAAATACGCACATTAAATTGTACTAGTTGAATATTAAACGCTTCGTCATCTTCATGCAACGTTTTACATTCTGAAAAAATAAAAACGATACATAATAACAAATTTAGATTACCATTTCTTTATTCAAAATGTATGCTTGTAGGCCTAAAGTGAAAACTTCTAGTCCCAGAAACCACATTTATCCTGAGGTGGTTTTTAATTTGATTCTACGATTTAGTGTGACCAAAAACATAAGAAAATTGATGGCTCCGATTTAAAATTGATTAGAACCATGCAACCATTTGAGATAATCAAGACTAAAATCTACCTTACATTTAGTAAAAACTTCAAAACCCCATAACATCGCACAGAATAAAGTAATTTCACTGAAATTTTAAATATATTCATTTTTCATTAGATGTATCTATTTTTTAACTATTATAGCAATAATGGTTATCTCTTCATCCAGTGCTGGTTGAGAAAATGCATCCAGCTCCTTGTCAGTGGTGCAGGACAGAGGGAGAGCAGGTCGTTTCATCCAACTACCGGTTCATCTCGGGCTGTTTCTTCCGGGCTGTTTCATCCCAAATTTACATGGGTCCTTTCATCCCACTTATATCGGGTCGTTTCATCCCACAAATTTAAAAACTGGTATTACATGAATTTTTAATATTTTATTTATACATTAATACAAATAACAACATGCCAATGCAATTTTATCATGAATAGTGTCCAACTCCTTCTTTTGCATACGCCTTAGCTTATTTTCCGAATATTTTATTTATACGATGTCAATGCAATTTTAATATAAACAGTGTCCAACTTCTTTCTTTGTATACGCTTTAGTTTATTTTCCGAATCCACACCAATTCTCGACACCAATTTCACTAAAATTACATTGCTTACAATCGAGCGATGCTCATAGCAAAACATTCAACTTGTAATACACCGTATAGTCATTTGAATGCATGTTGGTTTCACTATAACAGGATTGCCAGTGATAGAACAGATCAAAGGATAAAATTGCACGTAGCCACTATTTCGACACATGTTATCTTTAGATGTTTAGACTACCTGGCGTCTCAAATAACCAACGTTAAAAGAAAGCATGCAGTGTCAACCTTAGAACAGGTTCCATTGATTTACGATTTATTTTATAACTTATCACACAGTTTAGACCACAATGTGTTACGATACGCATTTTGGTATTCTAAATGAATTATTCTTATTCGGATTTCTTATATTTGGAGATGTTTAGTTTCATTTCGTGTACGGAAATTAAATCAACGATCAGTGTTAAAATTAATTATGGTTTCGAAATAATATCAATCTAATTTGTCTTATTTAAAAGGGGCTCCTGCACAATTTAGTTGATTATTTGGTAATACGAAGAGCCCATGATGTATTTTTGGCGAGTGATTCAGCTGTCAATATGTAATTATAAAACACCTTTTTATAAAGAAGATAAATGATATTAGACATCATAAACTAACAAACAATACGAGAATACTTTATTACAAAACCATCGGTGAACTAATCTAAAATCATAACGTAAATTAACTAACAATACGAATAAACAATACGAATATACAGCGGTGAACTAATCTCGGATGTGATCGGTAATCAACAAAAATCGACGAGTAAAACCTATTTATTCCATACATTAAACAATAAAAAATTAGGTTGGGATGAAACAGCCCGGGGTGAAACGGTTGTGGGATGAACTGACCCGCATCCCAGGGTATCGGGCGTATTCATTACCAGGCTAATTCATTACCGGTAAAATCGGCGTATTCATATGGTCATGAATACGCCGATTTTACTGGTAATGAATTAGCCTGGTAATGAATACGCTAGGATTCCATCCCAGGACAGAGTAAACCTGTGACCCCCAGGCTGGCTAGCTAGCCAACATCTTACCCACTTTTGTTTTCTTACAAATTTAATCGGTAATTTATACAATACTTACATAATTTAGATTTAAATGAAATCTTGAAAAACGAAAATATTTTATATTTTTCGCATCACTTGAAAGTTATTATAAACTTCGTATTACTCATCGAATCGACCAGGCAATAATGTGATCAATGTGAATGTCTATTATTTATAATATTATATTGACCGATAAAGATTTCGAAAGGCTCCCTTTTAAGAGAATTATCTGTAGGTTGCATGAATATATATAATTTCCATAAATGGTTTAGATTACAGGTAGATACTTGCTCCTTCGTTTACCTGTATCTACAAAGATATATTCTGTCTTACGTATTTGTTGACATTTTTACAACCGGAAATGTGAACAAATGGGCGTACTTTTCTTACTTCGCTCCAAAAGAGCCACATCGAAATCATTCGGGACCCATCAGTTACTTCCGTCAAGTACGCTAACTTGACCAAGACAAATTAACCCAATTAGCCAAACACAATTTAACTTTACCGGATACCCATAGGCCATAATCGGAATGAATGAATAATATATCAATAAATTTTTCTATAGGTTGTTAAAACAGGTAACAAAGACTAGAAACTCTCTGTTTCGACCTATATTTGGACCATTTTAATGGTTTGCAACCCAATACCTTGTATTTCGTGTTATGGCCTGTATATTTTGATGTTAAATACACCCCCTCCCCCACATTTAATACCGGTTAGTGCCAGTCAATTTAAAAGTTAAAATACGGATAATCTAATGTATAACCGGAAAGTATTTGTTATCCCTCTTTCAATATATAACCTATTCCCTGGCACATTCATGAAAACGTGAATTAGTAGAAGTAAAACACTCTTCATTTCAGCAAAGAAGGGGGTTAGATGGCCGAATGGTTAGCACGTGCGCGCTGTATCATAAGGTCTGTCATTGAGTCACTGGCGTAGTTTCGATTACCCGGTTATACGTGACAAGGAGTAGGTTGCCTGTCCAACCTCGTGGGTTTTATCCAGGTCCTCCAGTTTCCTCCCACTGCTAAAGACTCATATGCGCAAGCGAATTATTGACATAAAACTGAACCATGATTTAGTTCCGAAATGACCTAGTTTGTGTCGAGTGGGCGTTAAACCCCATTTCTCTCTCTCTTTGAGCAAAGAAATATGTTGCTATCAGACAAAACCTAATTTCTGAAAATGGACTACTTTCAATTATGTTCTTTATCGATGGCCCGGTACCATTAGCCATACTACGCACGTGGTTTCACAGAAACCTAATTTCTGAAAATGGACTACTTTCAATTATGTTCTTTATCGATGGCCCGGTACCATTAGCCATACTACGCACGTGGTTTCACAAGAGTCGCGGTCATCGAGCGATTTTTCTTATTGTACATATGCGGATACTCGATTCCCTATTATTGTACGATGAATTTCTAAAAAATAAAATATCTTTATATTAAAATACAATTAAGTTAAACAAATATACATTTTACAAATCGGATATGACAAATGTCTGATTTGTAAAACAAATATTGATTTTATAAGATACAAATATTGATTTTAAGATACAAATTTTAATTTTACTGTACAAATGTCGAAATACGGCATTTAATGAAGAAATAAGAATTAAGGACTATGAATTAAGAACTAAGAATACTAATAAATAGCTGTTTGGTCTTCCAATACAAATCAGCTAAAATGTATTTGATTTTATATACTCATCAAAAAAAGTAGGGGATATTGAAATGCAAATACCTATGCAGGTTGTGATGTGATAAATAGTCATGGACACTTGAAATGCTTTGAGAGTATGTTCATAGATGAAGAACTTATAGCCCCAACAGAACCACTGAGCTGCACATGCGACACATAATAGCCTCATACACGTGGGAGGGGTTCATTGTCAAATTTGACACTTCAAGGAAGGGTTGATGAAACTGCCGCGTGCTGGTTTATCTTATCCTTGTTTGCTTTCCCATCGGTTCATGCATAAGATTTACTGTTTAGCGTATATTTGCTTTAGTGTGTTACGTTTAATTTGCAATGAGACGTCTTCAACATAACGAACGTCAAAAGTGGCTTTAGCAAAATATGTCGACCGCTAGGCAGGAAGAATGGTCGAAAGATTGGCACCAAGAGTAGAGAAGCATAGGAGGAAATAATGGCAATAAAAGTATCCGATTCCGAGCTATAGTACTGGATAATCGAACAAATAATATTACATATCTTGACAAAAATTCCAAATTATGAGTGTTTCTATGTAGTTTGTTTGTAATTTGTCTAAATTTTTCACATAAATGGACCTGAAATACACCGCTGTGCATAAAGCAGCATGTATACTTCAAGGGCCATCATTTTTGCAGTAATTCTTTGATTTTGATTTTTTTTTTCACCGACATGTTGCCAGAACACATGGGAAGCAAATAAAAAAAGGTCTTTTGGTGATAACCGACGTTTCACCCCTATATAGGACGCAGCTCACCAAATGCTTCCTTTAGAGACCAGTGAGCTAGTTGAACCAACTACATCACTTCCTGTTTTAATAAAAATTTAATTTCTCGCTTACAAACACTTTTTTTGCTTGTGTTACAGAAGGGATTATTTCTGAAAAGATATTTAAGATTTATGGAAACCTTGTTGAAAATCGTTGGTCTTCCCCTCAAATGAATAAATAATAATTTTCTAAAATCATATATTAAACAATGCAGTTGAACGAGAGAGAGAGAGAGAGAGCGAGAGAGAGAGAGAGAGAGAGAGAGCTTTAACGTCAAATCGACACAAACTAGGTCATTTCCGGACTTACATATGGTTCAACTTTATTTCAATAATTCGCTTGCGCATAGGGGTCTTTAGCAGTGGGAGGAAACCAGAGGACCCGAAGAAAACCCACGGAGGTTGGACAGGCGAAGGCATAAAAAGAGTTTCAGCATGGGGAAATGAAAGTGATTGCTATATAGTGAATTACTAAACTATGAAACAAATGTGCATATATTTTTTTAATTGTTCAGCCACTTTTCTTAATGACATATTACTCATCTGTGAATTCTTTGTAACTAATATTCACCTATGATAATTTGTTTAAAGATAGTTACTAGGTTCTTTGGCCGTCTTCATTAGCCCAGTTCGGAACAAAACAGTAGGACGTTAATCCCCATTTCATTTCATTTTTAGGTTCGTTGGACGATCACACACTTTTGTTATTTGTGTTAACAATCAGAGACAAAACCCAATACAAAACTACGAAAATAAAATGATATATTATAATTATTCTTCAACTATCGGGAATTTATATCGAGTTCACATATGATATATTATATAGTATACAATTAATCCACTACGTACACGTGGTCTGATAGATCTGTTTGATTCGCGACAAAATGAAACTGAAATAATTTTGATAATGTATTTTGATATTATCACATAGTTTCTTATGAAAGCCTATAACTACCATTTATAATTTCTACTGTTCGCCCCTTCAAAACACGAAAGTCGGATACTACAAAATGTGAGGCGACAGCACGCTATACGAGCATTAACACCTCACTGGTTTGCGCAAATAAAAATTAATTGTCAGACCGTTTATGCCCTATATGTGTAAAAGTAAAATAGATATTTGGGTAACGTTTTAGTTGAATAATTATGTTAATTATAATATATAATGTAAAGATGACGATGAGTGACTGTGTAAACGTATCTGTAACAGCAACGATAAATTATTGAACATTTGGAGCGTGATGTGATTTTTATTGTCCCCCGCCTTTCGAAGAAAGTAGGGGACTATTAAAATGAGCCCTATAGAGGTCATAATGTTTATCCGATTTAACAAAACCGTATTATTATATCACCGTTACACCCTAAGGACGACTGAGTTCGAATTTCGTGACAATCGGCCCAAATTGACAGACAAAATGGCCGCCCCCGTTCTCAAATAGCGTAAAAATATGGTATATCAAGGTTGTACACCCTATAGAGGTCACAATTTTTATCCGATTTTGTTGAAACTTGAAATGTAAGTTTATAACCCAAATGAGCCCTATAGAGGTCATAATGTTTATCCGATTTAACAAAACCGTATTATTATATCACCGTTACACCCTAAGGACGACTGAGTTCGAATTTCGTGACAATCGGCCCAAATTGACAGACAAAATGGCCGCCCCCGTTCTCAAATAGCGTAAAAATATGGTATATCGAGGTTGTACACCCTATAGAGGTCACAATTTTTATCCGATTTTGTTGAAACTTGAAATGTAAGTTTATAACCCAAAGATTGTGATTCCTTTCGATATTCGCGCATATCGGACAGTAACTTCCTGAATTATGGCCCCTGATTGTACGAAAAATCGCGTTTTTAGTTTGTGGACCCTGTAGAGCTAATAATTTTCATCCGATTTAAAAAAAACCGTATTATTATATCACCATTACACCCTAAGGACGACTGAGTTCGAATTTCGTGAAAATCGGCCCAAAACTGACAGACAAAATGGCCGCCCTTCGTTCTCAAATAGCGTAAAAATATGGTATATCAAGGTTGTGGACCCTATAGAGGTCACAATTTTAATCCTATTTTGATGAAACTTGAAATGTAAGTTTATAACCCAAAGATCGCGGCTCCTTTCGATATTCGCGCATATCCGAATGTAACTTTCTGAATTATGGCCCCTGATTGTACGACCACCATTAATTTTCCATATCTCGGTACCCAGATATATTTTTCTCCCTCCTTTCCTGCCATTTTGCATGCTTATCTGTATTGAATTTTTGGTGTAGAATTGATGAAGAGGCATTGAATTTCTATTTTCTGCCTGGTTTGGTGTCAGATTGAGACTTTTAAGCGGAAGACTACAAGGAGTAAAGAGGCTTTGTTTTGTTTTTGCACTAACACGGACATGATATTCTGACCCCAGTCTGCTATGAATTTCAATGAATTGAAATTTTTGTGGTCAACCTCATACAAATTTAGTACTCTGATGATCCCATGATGTCATACTTGCTGTGCTGTAAAGGGAAGTTCTCAACGAAATTTAGGGAATGGGCTACAGCATGTAGAACACCACTGATTTAACATTGGAGTCAATGGAGAAATTAATGGTGGTCTGCATCCACATCGGTATATGGGGTTATCTCCCTTTTATCTTGAATGGAAATCCTTAGCTCCGAGAACGTAGCTAAAAAAAACGTTGAGATACTGGTGTGCTTGCTTTTAGCTACGATTGGGTGCCTTTAGTTCCAACTGGCAAACTCAATTTAACATCTTAAAAATATCCTATTATGACTAATTAAACTTACAGAGTCCAATGTAGTGGCACAACTATCGCCTAACTCCAAATATTCGCGTTTAAATTAATGAAGCG